TTCCTTTTGACCCCTCATATTAGCTTCCCTTCCCTCTTTTTATTAGCATTTCTCCGTTAGCTTGAAGAAACACACACACGCACACACACACATGCACACATTAACTCACCTGTTTCTCCCATTTGAGGCCTCTCAGCTGCCCCGGCTTTCCTCCCCCCTCGATCCCTGCCGGGTGCGGTTTTCCAATCCATCCTGCTTTTGTCATTACAGCTCACCCACCTAAACATCCACCTGCCATCTTTGTGCGTTGGTTTTGCACATGTGGGAATATACCCTGCTTTCTCAGAAGAGGCATTAAACTTTGATCTCATTTTGGCTATAATCGAGACAGCGCGTAAAGGACATGCAAAAGCTGCATCTGCCCGCCAAAATAAAAGAAAAAAAGGAGGCTTATTACAAAAGTATTTCCTTGACGGTTGCGTCAATCCAGGTGATGCATGTGTACATCCAAAGAGACGAGTCTGGAGTATCAGGAGACAATAGCATCCTTGTTACGCTGGCTGGCAGTGCTTGACATTCCTAAGGATATGGAGGAAGAAAAGCCTCAGGGTTATGGCTGACTTTGGGAGACAATGTACACATATTTGAAGGTATAAAATAATGAGAAAATGCATGGAAAGATGTGCAATATGACAAAGACTGAACGTCATATCCGTTTCGAGTTTTTCATGTTAAAAAAGTCACTTATACGCGTTACTTTCGCTCTCTTTATTGTGCTTAACTTTGACTTTAAATCAAAGGAGAGAAACACACATTTGAGCGAGAGGTGAAGCAAACTAAAGCAAGGCCTCTGACAAAAATCTGAATATTGGCTGCCCTACTTTCAAGCACCGAGCTCCTTTCTGCCTCCTGGTGTTCACTCAGCAGCTCTAAAGAGCAGCTGCGGCAGGATCCTGCAGTTCCTACTCTGGCCTGCAGGAGGCAGACTGTGCCAAGATATGCAGCGAGTGGCTGGTGCAGAGTGTTTGGTGGCTTTGCTGCAGATGGAGCTCTCTGCAAATGAGTGAATGAGGAGGTTTTAGAGATTGAATTTGACTCTGTAGAAGTTCACATTATGATGCTGTTCCAACACAGTCAATCAGGGGCGTCTTTTTGACAGTGACAGGCTCTGAACCTGAAACAGCTATAAAGTGGCTCTGATTGGAGCCACTAGAGTATGTAGACAAAAACTGGCATTAAACTTTTGGGTTTTGATCAATCTTTTCTGCAAAGGAGGGAAAAAATGATTTCAGGAGAAAGCAAGAGACAACATCTTAATAACAAGGACTGGGTCAATCAATCTGTATTTATGTAGCTCAGATTCAAAGGGATGCTTTATATTTTCATATCAGAAACTTTTAAAATACAAATCTGAGTCCGTTTGTAGAATTTTTTGGTCATTTCAGCCCTAAAGATTGCGGGGCAGGGGACAAAAATACTATTAATGCTCTCAAACCTTCTCACAATTAGGGCCTGTGTCCACTGATTGCATTTTGTGGCTTCCAGTATCTATCTTCCATACAAACCTATAAAATTTGATATTTCTAGCTGGCTTGAAAACGTCCTTGGCATACACTGTTGAAGTTGCTCAGCTTTTGGAGAAGTTAGTGCCGCTTCTCTCTCACCAACCAATCAAAATTGAGAAGAGGTGGTCTTCTTGATTTTGGTGGTCTTCTTCTTCTGGTATTAACTTTGTGAACAATAGAGTGAAAAAGTTTATTTATATATATATATGTATATATATATATATATATATATATATATATATATATATACAGTATATACAAAAATATATTTTTTGTTAATATATTTGTTTATTTTATTTACTTCTTTTCCTTATTATTGTTATTTTGGTTATATATATCATTATTTTTGGTTTCTGTTTCTGAGTTGATCTAATGAAAAATATTTCCTATAATTAATTGTATCATTTAGTGTTCATGTATGTTGGAAAAACTAATAACAAATAAAAAACTATTTAAAAAAAATAATAAAAAAATAATAAAAAATAATTGTTAAAAAACAAACGAACAAAAAAAAAAAAACAATGGTGATGGATGGTTCTGTTTTCATGTTGCTAGGAAACAACTTTTATTACTTATCAACCAAAAGCATGGCTAAGGCTGTGTCCGAAATGGATCCCTAACCCCCTAAAGTATAGGCGACTATATGGAGGGTTAGCACCATTTTAAGGGGTGTCTGAAACCTGAGTGATCAATTCCAATGTCCCATATAGGCGACTCAAAATTTCCCATAAAGCATTACAAAATGTAGTGACCATCCGATGGTCACTCATCGGTGGTGGGCATCCCACCATGCATTGCGTCTCCAGCGGCAACGTCACAACAGTAGTGTCCGAAACCTCCGGTGATTGAGTTCACTACATAGTCAGCTATATAGTGAAACCCCATATGGGGGTTCGGGGTTTGGGATTTACTTTGGACACAGCCTAAGACACACTCTAAAAGTGAGGTCATGGGTGCTGCCAGAGCAAAAACTGCTGTTAATGGACACAGGCCCTTACAGTTTTAACACTATGGCTCATTTCAGAACGTTACATAATGTTTTCAACATAATCTGGATGTTATATTTCAGCTGTGCCACGTCGACTCGCCATAAATGTGCGCCTCATTACAATCTGGGTTTGACTCAGTTTGATTTGGTTTCAACTCAGATGAACTTTTTACTATGTGTTTCTGATGGTGTGAGCATTATGAGGTGTTACATAAACATCTAAATCTTCGCTTCCAGGATGTTCCAAGTGTTTTGGCCTCATACAGCTGCATAATTTACACTCCTCACTCCTCTTCTAACACAGCGGATATCAAACAAGCCTGATGTGAGTCAGTCTTATGAATCAAGCCAGATTTAATCAGATGCAGCTGTCAGACTGTCATTTCACTCCGGTGGAGGGGTCATGAATTAGAGGATATTTAGTTCGGTTCAAATGTCTGATCAGGTCAGGCCACTAGGGAACTCACTTCTTTGTAGTTTCTTTGGTTTGAAAAACTTTGATTGAAAAGTTCTTCCTTTGCTGGAGGCACTTTTCCTGCTGCTCTTCAACACTTAAGGCTAAGGAAAGCTCTTAATCTGATTTGATTGCGCCCTTAAATTTGCCTCCAAGTAGCTGAAATCCCAATTCTCTCCTCACCTCTCTTTCTGTCTTTTTGTCACTCCTGGTTTTTCTCAGCCTGGACTTTCCTAACTCTGCGACCTTCCTTCCTTCCAACACCAAAGAGGCCTCTGTCCTCTTATCTCCTTTAGATGTCTGCCTAAGCTCTGAAGTTGACTTTTTGAGGCTTGAACTCCTGAGAAGTTTGCCAAAATCCTTCCTTTGACTGATTTCAGCTGCATTTTTCTCTGCTTTTGATAAAAATTCAGTGAAAAAACAACAACAAATGAGAGTCAAAGTTTCCACAGCAGATGCGATTGCTGCATTCCTTTTGCAGTCAAAAGTTTCTTTAGTAACAATTAGACAAAACAACAAATTAGCACACTATGTTATGTCTGCCTCTGTCCTGGTCTGACCTGCTGTTTGAGTTGCAAAAGGACGTCTTGGCAGCAGATCTTCTGTCCAGCCCAATTTCTCATGTTTCCACTTAAGGATATTAATTCTCATTTGGCCATGCATCAACACTGTATTCACTGTTACTCACTATAATACACAAAGACTAATCCATGTCACTTAAGGGATTTGAAATATTGCTGCAGCTGCAGTTTGATGTGTGATGCAACTTCAGTTTTTTTAATTAAAGGCAGCAAAATAATGAACTTATTTCACATTTTGTGGGTGCAAAACCTCTCGAAGTGACTTATGCACACATAAAAGAGTGGTTACTCAGATTTGATCGCATGATTTACTGTGCAAATATCACACTAAGCTGCTGACTTAGCCGAAAATGAGACAAAGCTAACAGGCTTCCCACAAAACAGATCATCCCGAGGACACTGACAGCTGCACTATGTAACTTTGAGGTTAGTGAGTCACTCGGGCTCTTATTAAGATTTATTCTGAAGAGGTTCAACGAGTGCTTTTGCATCATGCCTGCAACAACAAAACATCGATCAGAGGACAGAGGAGTGGCGTTAATCTCTAAAGACACACACAGGGATCTTTTAAGTCTGTCTAAGAAGAGTTTTAATCTCCGTTTTGAGCGTTGACTTCCTCTAACCGTTGTCTTACTGGCCTACTGACAGACTTCCACTTTTGCATTTTCCATCGCTTTGCGTGCCAGTGTGCACAAAAAGTAGCAACCCTTAAGCATGCAATAGAAGGGCTGGATTCTTGATCCTGTTTGTGGTGTACGATTACTTTCATCTGACACTTGAGGTTTCTTATCGTACCTCCCAGTCTGAAATGAGTTACATGTGATTGGCAGGAGCGAGCAAAGACCGCAGACTTTTCCTCAAGGCGCGCTGCACTAATTGTTCAGTCACACGGCTTATCGGTTGTGGGATAAACAAGTTTCAAAATAGCTCAGACGTGGTTAATGAGGAGGAGATAGCAGGGTTTTTTTTTATGACTCCTCTGTAGAGGGAGCTCTTCTCTTAGAGACGTCCAGTGATTGTGGGGTCAGAGAAAGACAGGGTTAAAGGAAGAAATGAGGGTGAGACTTGAATAGAAAACAATATTTTTTGCCTCATGCAACACATGATATCAGCAGCCACTGTTGCATTTTGGTGTCAAAGCCAGTCTTACCTGAGGTGGGAGGCTTTTTCCTTTGAGACCCCTTATACCACTTTAATGTATTACATTGTGGCCTCATGCAACTTTTTTTTTTTTTTTTTTGCATCCAAAGGAGAAAAAAAACAAAATAGAGATAAAGATGATGGGGAAAAACAGATATCACATTTGTAGCAACCAATTTAAAGTATTTTTGACCTCACATCTGATCTGATCTGGTTGACTCAGGGTTCATAATAATCATTAATGCTTCAGGTGTATTTATTCAATGATGCACCATGAATTTTGATGTGCCTCACTATACACATCAAGCGTGATGCGATTTTGCGACTTTCTGGGGGGAAAAAAGATGCATCCCGGGTGGAAGCAAGAAGACTGACAACAGCAGACTGACTGTTTTTCAGTTCTGATTAGACTCTAGTGTTGAGATGTCTGTCTGTCATGATAGCATGTACTGAGTCGAGGCCAGTACCAGATAAGCACATTAAACTATAATCCATAAACGTAAGGTAACAACCGAGACCTAATGGTGCTGTGACAGCAACGCCATTGAGTTTGAGACAGTGAAAATACATATGGTATGTTGTATCTGAACAGGTTAGCTTACGAGCTAAAGTTACTTAGCACAAATGAAAGTTAAAACGAAGACGTTTAGCAAACTGTTAAAGCACACAAACCATCGTCATATGAGAAATCTGACACTATGACTCTCCACAAGTTGTCCTTCAGGTCATTATCTTTGTGATGTTTGTGTCTTTTATCAAAAACCACTCTGTTCTCCGACATGTAAACAATCAGCCGGTCGGCCATGTTGGATATACCGGTGAATCTGACGTCGCAACAACACGCAAATCTGATAGTCAGAAGTGGACACACGGTATGCAAAACTTTAGAAAATGCCGCAATATCGCAGGTCGGGAAAACGTTGCTGATGTGAACGCTTGTATTGACAGGATACGGGTTTGAAACATAACATTGACGTCTAAAAATAATCGCACGGAAAAAAAAACGGCGCAGGTGTGTAAGGACCTTTAAGCTTAAACTATGTTGGATTAAAAATTGAGGTACAAAAGTTCACTGAGTATTTTTGACCTCACGCATTTTTGAACTTATGCTTCATCTTGTTTTTCAAACACAAAAAGACAGGCCCCTAAAACCCCCGACTTTTCTGGTCTAAACAGTCATGAAAGCTCATCATTGTGCTCCGTGATGACTGAGCTCACGCCTCCGGCCTCCATCATGAGGCCCTGCTTCAGAGTCCTCATGCTGCTCATCACACTGATGCAGCCTCGCAAGCATTGGCGCTCATTTCTAGTGATGTAAGAAGTCAATTCGACAGCCACCCCCCAGTTCAGTCATGCCACCGTCTCCCTCATGTGACAGCCAGCTCTGTTATCTACTGAGGGGGCTGGATGACGACTGTGTCTCTCCATCCTTCCTTTTCTTTATGGAGCAGTGACATAATGGGAATCCCCCGCCATACTGGAGCAGGACGGCCCAGAAGCTGACATCACACAGCAGGGGGGGATGTGAGGGAGGCTGTCATGATGCTGGCAGAGGAGTCGCACAGCATGAACTTCACCCTCTAGTGGCGAATCGACTCCTTTCTTAGCTGATACGTTCGGATCAGGATGGGGATAAGGTAAGAAAGTGGGAGGAAGGAACAGAAACACCAAAGCTTGAGGCAGGGAGAGCACAAGCAAAGACAGGGCATCCATAGTATATACAGTCTATGAGTTGGACTCACAAACCTCCTTGAGTATTTGCTAATAGGTCAGGAGTTCCTTAAGTAAGATTTATAATCCCTAGAAAGAGGAAGGTAACGGACTGACTCACTGACTGACCGACTGATTGACTGACTTCTGCTTCCTCCAGCAGATATTGCAAACCACAAGTTCGAGTTCACAAGAGCTCACATTGCCAAGCACGCAATCTGACAGTCGTTGCATGTGATAGAGATGATGGCGAGCCGCTTTCATTATGAAAAACACTCCAGCATGTGAAGTCTATCTGCCGCAGAGCCAACAAATACACCTCCATATCCACGAGACATCACCCTCAGACATAAACGTCCCCCCCCGACACACACTCACACACTCTCTGAGGCGGAAGAGAGCAGCGTGAGGAGTGGTCCCAATTGGCACGGCGAGCGGCAGCTGTGAAAACAGGCGGGCGGTGATGTCAGAGCAGCAACGGACCCTGGGAAGCGAGGCCACTCTAGACGTATTCGTGGGCATCCAGAGGGAAGGTGGCGGATTTGGAGTCAACCATGAGAGATGAACCAAGTCTGGGGATTACAGTGTTTCCAGGTAACTTCCCATATTTCGATCAACAGTTCGGCATCCAGACAGATCCCGTGTCTTGCAGGTGCAAAGATACAACCCGCCTTTCTTTCCTTCCCATTTCACTCCCTCCATCCTCGCCTTACTCATGGAGGGAAAGCACAGCAGAGGGCAGAGAGGGCACGCCGCCAGATGTGCCAAGTCAAAGCAGCAGACGGCGGTGGATCAAAGAGGACCGGGAAGGAAGCATATGTGAGTGTGTGTGTGTGTGTGTGTGTGTGTGTGTGTGTGTGTGTGTGTGTGTGTGTGCAGGTGGAACGTCACAGGAAAGAAAAACCAGACCTCTTATATTCCCTCCATCATACACCTTTTCATTTCTGCTCAAAGGAAACCGTCCTAAATTGTGAGTGAAGCAGCCGACTACAGTTTCAAGAACAAACACGGCCTCTCCGGCTCACCACACGCCGCACACTCGTGGTGTTTTCCATTCCATTAGATGATGTTAATGAATATCGGATTATTCCAGACAAGAAGCCTGATCCCGGACTCCGACTGCTGACTGAGCCACAGTTCAGAGGCTGGGCATTGCTCTATTTGGCTGATAAAGCAGAGTGAAATCAGTCTGGTGATTTCACCCCAGGGAGGTTTTGTAAGGTGTCATGTCTGGCCTCCTCCCTGACACAGCCCTGCAAATTAGAAACTCTCATTTTTCAAGGAATATCATCTTCAACTGCATTTAGCTTTTCAGACTGAACTCAATGCACTCTGAGGATTCAGACATTAAAGGGACATGACAGAGTTTTATTGTAAACAAAGTTATACAAGATAACATCTTGTTCACTCAAGATAATAAGCCTTTCCATAAATTATTATCAGTGAGTGTCCAAGATAACTTTTCCATGCACCATTGTGTTATCTTCAAGGAACACGTCATTATCTTGCATGGACAGGAAAAAAGCTTGCGCAAACAAGATATTAATTTGTGCGCACAAATTACTCACTTAAAAATGCAATTAAAGATAAAAACCACTTTTCGCAACATGATTGTAATACATGATAAATTAGTCCCACAGGAGGACGTTCTTTTGTTTGCAAGATATTATCTGCAAGATAAGACAGGAATCTTAGTTGTGCACGCAAAATTACTCTATGATTCCACAAGATAACTGTATTGTGCACACAAGATAACAACAGGATAACAGAACTTGAAAAATAAAAGATGCATGCAAGATATTAACTGGGGTGCACAATATAAGGAGTTGTTCCCAACAGGTGGTTGTTAGCCGTGAACAAGTTAGATATCCTCTTTGGACGATCCTCACCAACCCCGACTTGACGACAACATCATAATCCAAGATGGCAGCACAGTGCATCAACAGTAAAGAGTAACAGTGAAAGCTCTCGCAATGTATTATTTATTAGCACTTCTGTTTTGTTTTTGTGAACTTAAATAAGTGGTATATGTTGTACTGCCCAACGTCTAACTGTGAACACGGTGCTATGGTGTTTGTAAGAGTAAAATACTGTGTTATGCGTTGTTTACAACTGGTTTAGCTAACAACAACTAACAACAACTGACAACGGCTAACAACAGTTGACAATTGTAAAAAACAGCTAACAACAGCTAACTGTTCGCATCCATCTTGGTTTTCTGACTTGTTAACTGGAACGCCGTCAACTCAGGTGTAACGTCATTCCCATCTCCGACATCTGACTTCCGAGGTAACTGGAACGCATTATTATTCCCTGACGCTAATTTTAAGTGCATTCTAGATCATTACATGGTTTCACAAGATAATATCTAGACCCTAAAGACAATAGTATTGCCCCCACAAGATAAATAAATGGTACTCACAAGATGACAGCTTGTTCCCACAAGATAATTACATTGCACTTACTAGTAAATAATTAAGATAATGAGATAACTTCTTGTTCCTTCAAGATATTGTACATGCAAGATAATAACTTGGGTGCACAAGATTAAAGCTTGTTCCAGCAAGACTGTTTGATGATGTTCACAAGATGATCACTTGTTTTGAGCAGATGATTATGCCGTACACACAAGATAGCTCAACTGTTTATCTTACCTCAAGATAATGACTTGTACAAACGATAAAATTATCTAATAGAAACAGGTTTATTGTCTTGTGGACATGATAAAAGTATTTTGTGGGAATAATCTTGTGTGCAAATTTTAATAATCCTGCGAGGCCCCTGACTCTAGATCAGGATTAAAAGCAGACTGTCATATCACCTTGAGCCTGATTTTCGGGTTCTTTAGTGAGCCTCTCTCAGTCTCTTATCATGAGCTGAATCTCAAACATGGAAACTGTCAAAACAAACCGGTAACATGTATGTGACAGAAAAACTGATAAGATACCTGAGATCTCTGCACCCACACAGAGTCCCGGACCTGACAGCCCTCCATGAGGCCTGAGAAACGAGCCGACCTTTCAACCTTTGCTAAAAAGTGGGCTGACATTCTTCCTCTTCTTTGACAGAAATACAGCCCTGCGGTCACCTCTTTCCCACTGCAGGCGGCTATCAATAAACGTCAAAACTAATCATCCTCCCCTTTTTCTCTCAGTGTGACAGTCTGCTGCTGAATTCCTGGGGATCTGTTTTTCTTTACAGCCTGCTGAAACTGGATAAAGACACTAAATGAGTGAAATACTTTCACAGGTATGTGCTTTATGTTCTCGGCGGGGTATACGACCAACACGTGGCTGTGCAGGATCTGCCTGAGGCTAAGACATTTTTTAGTTTCTGTTTTTTTTTTTTAACCTGATACTTTCACTTATTTACAACCTGATACTTTCACTTATTTACTGCGCAGCTGACAGCAGTGAGACATTCCTTATGAGTTCAGGTGGATCTATGCAATTCCCCTGCATGTTTTAACCCTTCATCATCGCTCTGTAGAGCTGATTTATTTAGATGAACAGATTACAGACAAAGTTATTATCTCAGGAATAATGAGACAACAAAAAGTTGACAACAAAAAGTGAGCCTGAAGTTGAATATAGGGCTGAAGTTGTTGTTTCAAAGGAAAGAAATCTGCTGTATCTTGAGCTGAAATCAGAAATGCATTGTTAAGATTTGCATCCTCCAAACTGGGTAAAAGTTTCTTACAAGTTTCACCTTTCCCGAAGAATAAAATTGCCAATTTAGAGAGGTTTAGTACAAAAAAGTATTGATCACAGAAAAGCAAACACATCCAAACATTTTCACTTTTTTGTGGCAAAAATAAGACTCTTGATTTGTTAGTTTTCATGTGAAGTAACCTTTTTTTTTCCGAAAAAGTTCCTCATATAACTTTTTGACAGCTAAAGAAGTCTGCAGATTTGAATCCAACAGTGCCACATTTGTACCACCCTCAGCTAGCTTGAGTACTTTCTTCTTCTTCTGCTTCTTTTGGTGTCTCCAAGATTATTTTAGGTATTTCTTTCACCGTTATTTAACAGACCAGCTTGAGATAGACAGGAAATGTGGGGATGAAATACACCAAATCATGTCGAGACTGGAAAACCATCCTACATCGAGGACTGTTGACTCTGTACATGGGGTGCCTGTCTGCTGTACCAACTGAGCCAAATCTGCACGTCCAATTTTGTTTACCACTTCCTCTTCTTATATTTTAAGATGAGATTAAAACATGCATGAACTTTTTTGTAAATGGCACCATCAGGTCTGCATTATAATGTCTAACATGACCGTAGTTTCTGTAGGACCTTGTAAAGGAACCTAGAAGCACTGTCGTAGACTCCATTGGATTCAATATTTGATTCTTTTGTGGATTGGTGTTTCCAACCCATAGCATACAACAACAATATAAATAAATAAATAGATTTAAAAAGCAGACAATAGGACAAATGTGATGCTACAGAGGCTCAAATATTTCAGGCAAACAGGCTAAAGGAAACCTGCATTCCTTTGGATCCATTCCTTTTAAACAGGAGTAGAGGCCACACACCTGACAGAGCGGTTCAAGTTTCTTGTCTTTGTCTTAAACACCATCCCCAACCCAGTGTTTTGCTCTCTTCCACATTCCTCTTCTTGTTGTCTTTTGACATCTTTTATTTCATCACACATATTTCCATCACGGCACGGCTTCTCTTTCCCTCTTCTTTCCAAATCCACCGCTCTTTTATGGCGTGCTTTACCTCATCTTCTACAAATCTTTCACCGCTGCTCCTCTCTCTCTTTTGAAAACCACATGCTCTCCTCATGTGTATCCTGGCAGGAGAGCAGAGTAGGTGGGTTTCTTTGTCCTCGGCTTGTTAGAGATGGAGATTGTCTGTGTTTCCAGCTGCTTGCTAAAAGGCTGTCTGGCGTGTCAATCTGTCAGCAGATCCACCTGACAGAAGCAACAAGTGCTCAGAGGGAGGAACGTTTCACTCAATGACCCCGGGTTATCCACCCAAGGGCTGCAACTTTCCATCACTGACTAGTTTTTTTTTTCTTTGTTTCCACGTTTTAAGAATCCACACTAACAGTCAGTTAAATAAAGGCCTGATGTTACTGTCCGCTCTGTTGTAACGCTGAAGCGGATGAATTGCTATGTTTAATTACGAGGTATCATAATTGTCACATTGTTGTGCATCGTAATGTTGCACATCATGTCATAACACATTGTCTCATAGCGCATTGTGCTAAAATGCATTGTGTTAGGGTAAGAGTTAGGGTTTTAATGTATCGTGATCGTACTGTATCATATTGAAATGAATTGTATTAGAGTGCATTGTGTCGAAGTGCATCTTAATGTTGCACATCATGTCATAACCCATTGTCTCAGCGCATTGTGTTATACTGCATCTTCTCATAGTGCATTGTATTGTATTGTAATGCATCACATTCTAATGTATCGTGATCATACTGTATCATATTGTAATGAATGGTATGGAAGTGCCTCAAATCCCTGTGAATTATATCCTATGTATAATATTATAGTCATCGTATTGTAGTGCATTGTGTCTGGCAGAATAATGCGCTTAAAAAGGAGGTAGATCATCCGGATAAGAGTTAAGAAGCCGGGTCAACAATGATGGGGGATGCTTCGGGATCTTACAGATCCTGTAACCTTTCTGTTGGACAGGTAAACGGCTTTAACTAAGTAAGCCAAGTGTCTGTAACAGAAGTGTTTCTTGTCAAACGGGACCTGCTGCGTGTTGTAGTACCACTAAACTGTTTACCTCGGGTAAACCTTGAGTAGGTCACTTAATCCTAGTTGTAGAAGTCCTGCAAATATTGTGTTTGTTGGTAGTCTGTTGGCATCTACAGTAGCACCAATGCTTTTTACTTTCACGTTGACTGGGCTCCATTTGTAATTATCTGAAGTATCTATCTGCATTATATCTGAATTTAACTGGAACGATACGGGTGAGCAGGAGCGTCTGTTTGTGGGCGGGGCTTGCTGGAGCAGAGAGGGAGGGGAGAGGAGTAGCTGAGGGGAAAACTGGTTAGGAGGGGTAGTGTTTACATTTAAGATTTCTCCCCAAAACTGGCACATCCTCAGATCCTGCCTACCCCACCTTTAATGTGCATGATATCATGGTGTATCGTATTTTAGTGCATTTTGTTGTAGTGCAACCTAAAGTCGTGTGTTGTATCATAGTGCATTTTATTGAAACACAACATACTGTTGTGTTTCAGTGAATTGTAAGATCCTTTTTACAGACAGCAGTATTGAACAGCACAGTAGTGCATTGTATTGCAATGCATCATATCCTTATGCATTGTGGCCTAGTGCATCTTATTATAGTGTATCATACTCCATTACATTGTGTCATAGTGCATTGCTTTTTAAGTGCACCTTATCACAGTGCATTGCATCGTATTGTAGTGCATCATATTATAGTGCATGGCATCGTAGTGCATTGAATGCAATGAGTGTTCATGCATCGCAATGTAATGTTTTGTAAAATTACCATCTTTAAATATTTATATAAGTCTGAAAATGTGGAACAGCAAAATAACACATCAAGTTAAAAGAAAATGAAGGTTGAAAAAGGACTTAAAAGTCAGTAAAGATAAATACTGCTTATCAGGTTGTTTATGCGGTGATGAGAAACACTCATACTCAGACTCAGACTCTTAAAACACCCCTGATCACCACCACAAGTGGACTTAATCACTCTTAATTCTTCGTCGCTGTACTTGCCAGTGGATTCTTGTGCCCAACACAAAAGAGGCTCCTCGGTGGCTCTCCACTGGTATTGTTTTCGTGCCACCACAGTGTAATTTAGCGATAAGTGGACGGGGTCAGTTCAGGTTTTTCTTTAAGAGCATGTTGTTGGGATCCAAACCAAAATGAGTTTTGGCTGTTATAACTAAGAGTCATTATGCTGTTTTAAAACCAGTTTTGGTACTACTTTGAAAAGAGGCCGATAGTGAAACTTTGGAGAGGATGACAAAGCAAAAGGAGGACAGAAAGGTCAGGAAAGGTAGCTTTGAGGTCCTTCAGGCATCACCTCACTCCATCTTGGAGACAGACAGACATAATGAAAGCTGGCTGTCAGAGGAGACACAGAGGAGCAGCCCTGAACTGTACAGCTGAAGGCTCCAATGACAGTAATGTCAATAATTACAGCTTTTATCTCAGTGGAAGGTCACAAGGTGCTTGAGTGGCTGCGTCAGAGTGGGAGAGTCCCCTGTTGAGAGTGTGTGTCTCTGCATAATGCGCACTGAAGTCTGAGTTTGCATATTGTTTCTGACTCATCTGGTCTGCAGAGGGGAGAAGGGGCTTTATTGTAGCTGCAGCAGCTGCTCAGACAGTCAGTTCATGGGGTCAATGTGACAGTCGGTAAATCAGTCGGTTTAAAGTTTCAGAAAGTGGACTCAATTATCTTTCAGGTCTTGGAAAATGTGATTTATGAAATTACAAAAAGCTGCCAGCGAAATGAGAGTCCATACATTATGCGATCCAAACTGACTGCTCCCTTTCTTTCCTACTTTTAGTCCTCTGTCCTTTTCATCTTTCCCTCACACGTCTCCTCTGTCACTGGCTAAACCCTCTCAGGCTCGTATTTCAGAGCTGAGTATGCTGTTACATTAGGAGGGGGGAGCTGTGGTCATGGTGTACAAGGAACATAAAAGAAAAATGAAGCATATTTTCACCCTCCTGTATATCCTGAAGTGGATCTCCATCCGTCCAGCAGGTTCTGATTACCACAGATGACGGGCCAGTCATGCTCAATCAGCTGCATGCCTCAGTCCGTCTTACTGCCCTCTCACGTGTTCCTGAAGTTTAAATACTGCTGCAAAAGCAAAAACCGAGGTGAAGTGGTTGATGTGGTCAGGAATCTTTCAAAGTATGTTTCAGCGGGGACTCATTTATCAGACCCACTCAGGAACCGCAGTCCGTGCCCTACATCCAGATTCTTTGTTTGGATTCGGCTCCGGAGTATCAATTTGTCAAGTGTGAGGGTAAAGCTGGACCGAGTCCAGGTGCTGCAGCTGTGACGGGCGGAGAGGTGCAGGAATGACTCGTTGGACCGGAGAGAGTTTCAGGTGTACACTCTGGAGACGCAGGAGGAAATTTTACTTTCAGATTTGATTGTCTGAACGCTGTGGTTTGACTCCCACAGGCCTCTGGGGTGCTGGTTTGACCTGGTGGCTTTTTGACTCTTAGCTTGTTCTCATGCTTTTTTGTTTTTACTGTCTTTCTTTTTTTCTAAATGAACCACACACCCCACACACAGTGAGGGATAAAACTTTTTATGAGTGGAGACATGTGAGTGGATAAAAAAGAAAAGTTTCCCCATGATCATAAATTGGTACAACGAGGCAGCAACTTCTGGATGTAATAATGAGGACAATACTGCAGTTCCACCTGTGTCCACTTGGGGCTTACTTCAAAAGTCAGGAAACCCCATTACCCCCAATTTCTACCGAATCCAGAACGGCTCTGATCAGGAACAGTGGTGATTTCCTGTGTCCGCCAATTCCTACTGGATCCGTTTGTGAGGCGAGTTTCAGGGCGATCAGCTTCGATTGACTGATTCGGCCTTTTCGCAGCCATTTTGGATGCGATGGAAATTGGGGGTCAGACTTCACTTTTAAAACGCAGACTCTCAAACCAGGATTCAACATGTTGATATACTGGTACAGCAACTTTTTTATCTGTATTTTCTTCTTTTTTTAAAAATATCTGAAGGTTGTAGCAACTATATATATATATATATATATATATATATATATATATATATATATATATACATATATACATATATATATATATATATATATATATACATATACATATATACATATATATATATATACATATACATATATATACATATAAACGCAAGATGAATTACGCACACTGTTAGCCAATGGAGACTGATGGCCGCTTCAGGATGCTCGCCCAGTCATAACATTACAGTCTACGGTGCATGTAGCATTTAAATAACCATAAATTGCTTAATTTTAAACTGATGTTCAAACGGTTTGGTTTGTAACAAACCTCAGAGTTGTAGTTACGTTCCTGCATACTCAAGAATAATTTAAACCATGGATTTTCATAAATAAACATTAGGCAGATAGGTAGAGCAATAGCTATAGGCCTACACACCTGATTCAAATGATCAGCTCGTTAGTAAGCCATTACAGAGCTTGATAACGAGCTGATCATTTGAATCAGGTGTGTTGGAGCAGGGAAACATCCAAAACATGCAGGACAGTGGACCTCAAGGACTGGATTGAGAACCACTGACTGAGACAAAAAAAATATGCTGTCATACAATTAAAATCTTGATTGTGGTCTCAGCCTTAATAACTCGCGCAAAGTGACTCAAAGTTAGCCTTTGCCCACACAAAAAGCTGTGAAACAACTCTGCTTTATGATTAGGTCTATTTTTATCAAAGAAAATCTGCCATTTCACTTTGTCCAAGCATCCCGACTCATAGCCATGTTATTAAGGTATGTAATAAATAAAACCATTTGTAAATCTGTCAAGGGTTCACCTTCCATCAGCTACCATACAGTGTACCAGAATGGTACACTTAAGTAAGATGGCCGCCGTGTACGGACACCACCTCGATTCATCTAGCCTTTCTTGTATATGTCTATGGTAGCAACCATCGTCGGAAGTCCTTTGCTCTTATTTCTATGATGGGAACACTTGATTTAAAAGTTCATAAGTCCCACACAGAGAGAGAGATCTTTTTAGACCACACTGGAAAAGGGTGAAAGAAAGAAAGAAAGTGGAAAGAAAACTGGAGAAAGAATATGAAAACTTTGAAAACACCCAGTCCAGGTGTTTTAAACACTAAGTTTAAAGGTCTTTCCAAGGTTTCTTTTGCTTTCTATATGAAGAAGTTGACTGTTACTCTCATGATGACTGAGTTGACCGTAAGGAGTCCAACCTGCCTGCACTTCGTCACCAATTCCCCTGTCGACTCCTCACTCATTTAGTCCCAAAAACAACCCCACATGACCACAAATACTCAGCAGACAGACACTGTCTGACTGCTCACAGGTCAGAACCAGGCTACGGCTTGTTTTGATGCAAAGCTTTCTGGGAATTTTCTTTCTAATTGCCTTGTTTACTTTTCCAGGAGTGTTTTCTTTTTCTTACCGTGATGAATGATGACTTGGACAGGACATGAGCAGGGATTACTGGACACTTTGGCCGCTGCAGCATGGGTGAATACATTCCTGTAGGAGTCCAAATATGACCACTTTCTGTTTGAAACCTCAAAAACGGACACTGCAGGCATGCCAAAGTTTGGGGAGAAGTGCTTTTTCGAGCACGGACAAAATACATAATTTGCAGAAGGGAGGAGGGTAATGACATTTGAAAGAGTAATTGGTTGGTATGAAAAAACAACACACACCTTTGAGCCAGTTTATGTCATCAGGAAAAATATGGAAAGTATGCTGAGGGGAAAAAATGACCCCGAAACTCTGGTAATTCATGTTTATGTGTGTGTATGTGCTCGTACTCTCTAGGTGTTTGAATGCATAAATCAGCGTCCACGTCCCGGTTGTGTTTTCTTCTTGTCACACCAAAGGGTGAAATACATCTCTCTAAGACCAGGGTTCAAGCAATTTGTCTTCGTTGGTACAGAACATGTAAACAGTCATAAATCGACACCATGAGGTGATGTATGTGTTTGTGTAATTCACCGCACTGATACATCCTCTCATGTCGTGACTTTTCCTCCCTGTCTCCGAGACACCTGAGGAGACAGCGAGGGTTATTGTTTGGGGATTTCTACCTCCTCTTAGCAGTCAACATGAAGCTGTAAAGAAATGAAATAAAAGATGGATGAAGGTCGCCACCCTTCTCTGTTTTTGTTGTTGCGAGCTGAACTAGTTCCCTGACATGACTTGTGCATGCATGAAAAATATCAAACAAAACATCAACATGTCCTGTTGTGCAACATTTCGAGGAAATAGCCACAGCTTGGCGATTCAGGATTTTAATCTACTGGAACGCCTTCCAGCTGTTATACTGAGGGCATAAAAACTCAGTCAACAACCACAACAGTGGTCACAGCAACCACTGCATCCGCCACTCACATTCCAGCCTAACCACCATGTCTGAACCCACCTGCAGGTCCAGATTCGGGGGTCTAAAACATTGTCCTATCATTTTCTTAAATAAAAATGCTCACTTAATCATCTTAAATATGAAGCCAGCAGTGGGTTTAAAGGTTAAAACTTAAAGCTCCTGTGGGGAATGAAACAGACTAAAACAAATACTAATCGCCTTTTTATAAGCCACAATCATAACAAAGTCCATCACATGACAATCTTTTATTTTTGGGTTGTTACAGCCAAAGTGATCACCTGAATGGTCTTTTTTTTCCATTTGGCATGGCAGAGTTATTTAATGAGCGGCACATTTGACCATTAAGAGACGTAGGGACAAGTTTTGTATAAAAAAAAAAATGCTAAAAAAATCAACAAGGGCATAAGCCAATGAAGTTCCTCACAGTAGTTTTAAAAAGTCACACAATACCCCCCAAAAGAACATCTCAAAGAAAATTTTCCAGCTAAATAGGCAAATTTGCAACAGTAAAGTAACATGACTGGATGTAAACAGGTTATCCTAGAGAGGGTGAGTCTCTCAGAAATGAGAGTTAAAGGGATATTCCAGCGTAAAACTAATTTAGGGTCAAACACACCGTAACACTGAGTTAGACACCCCCTCAAGAGATGAATGTTGCCGACCGCTTGCTTCTCTTGTTATACCAACTTGAGTAACGACTGCATGATAGCAATACGCAGCGGTCTGAGGAGCCATAAACAAACCTCAACCAAAAAGCCACTCTATAGCCACAAATAATGCTCAGAACAGCAGCTAACTTCATCAACAGTACATAGCACCAGATACCAAACATCTTTTCAACTTTGCTTAATTTTTTTCGCAAAGAGACTAAACACAACTCACCTACTCTCTTCCAGCGGCCGCTTGTTTGTAGCGAGACCTCGGGCCAGTTCATTACGGACTACAGCGGGGTGACGCAGCTCAAGGAAGAACATTTATGATCATTTCAATGCAATCAGGCCGAGAGGCTAGGGCAGAAGAACTACAGCATCTGCAGTTCAAAATGATTAATATGGTGATTATTACTTCAAGGAAATGATAAAGAAATGATCATAAATGTTCTTCCTTGAGCTGCGTCACCCCGCTGTAGTCCGTAATGGACTGGCCCGTGGTCTCGCTACAAACAAGCGGCTGCTGGAAGAGAGTGGGTGAGTTGTGTTTAATCTCTTTGCTAAAGAAATTAGACAAAGCTAAAAAGATGTTTGGTGGCTAGTAGTATGGTTGGGACCCTTTGTGTACTGTTGATGAAGTTAGGTGCTGTTCTGCGCGTTTTGGTTGAGGTTTGTTTATGACTCCTCAGACCGCTGTGTATTGCTATCCTGCGGTCGTTACTGAAGTTGGTATAACTACAGAAGCAAGCGGTCGGCAACATTCATCCTTTGAGGGGGTGTCTAACTTGGTGTTACAGTGTGTTTGACCTTAATTAATTGTACGCTGGAATATCCCTTCAATGCTCTGTGAGAGACTGTATGAATAAATAGTTGAACAACTTTTGAATGGCCAGAGTGCAGTGGTGCAAACTACATGTCATCTTTCTGTACCCAAAAAGACAAAGCTGAGAACCAGCACTGGACTGAAGCAGTCTTCAAGCCCTTAAGGTGGCACTGCATATAAAATCTGACATGCCTCTGTAGTGGAAGTCATCACATGGGCTCAAAATCACTTGTTTGTGAACAGTAGATACACATATGCCGGTTAAAACTGTACCTTGTAAAGAGGAAACCACATGTAAACATGATCCAGCAACAATGGTGGCTTTTCTTGGATGTTCTTATTTGGGCCTATTTGTAAATGTGCTGACAGATGCGCAGATTGTGATTGCAGCTTTGGTTGGCTCTGTGGTTAAAAACAAATTTACTTCAGGGGTCAGTTAGTTTATCTGTTTTCCATTATACTCTCTGCTAGCCCTCATTGTTGTTATCCTAGTTTGCTAACCTCAAGTTTACCAGCTTCTGTAGGATGACTGGTTCATTGGCATGGTTGATGATATCCAACACTGCATTTAGGCCGTCTTCAGAAGCTGACTGTTTCTGGTATTCGGGTGACTTTACAAACCTCCCCAGATGTTTTGCCCCTTTAGGTAGAAAAGCAACTCAGGACTTTCCCACATTTGTCATCTGGACTCCTTCCTCCAGATGACAAATTTAAATAAGCTGACACAATAAATATTACGTTAAATGCCATGTGGACTCAACCAAAATTTTCCCAAGCTTCAAATATTTACATACTCATCAAAACACTAGGTAAGTTTGCATGTCTGTGGTTTCCAGCAGTGTCAGTGTCAGTAAACCGGTTCAAACCTGTTTGTAATTTATTACTAACAAATCGTATTTTGTGATGTTCACAAGCTGCTGATGTCAACCCGCCCAGAGAGTCTGTGATCACTTAAACAAAAGGATACCATTGACATGACAGAGGTAGAAAGTCTGATGCTGGAAACTGATTTCTTGAGAATTTACAGGTTTTATTGTGTATCAGGATCATCTGTCTCTTTGGGTGGAGAAGTTTTCAGCACATGCCAGTTACAGCTAACATGACATCGCTGCTGTTTTTGATTTAAGTTCACAAAAGTTCTCTTTCTTTGGAGGCACCAAAGAAAGAGACCTTACACGCTCTGCTCGGCAACAGATCAAGACAGCTACATCTTCTCCAAATGCCATTTCATAAGCGTTTCCCCTGACGCATGCACAGAAAAGGTTTTTCATGTAGTCACATGTGGATGTTGGAGTTGCAGAAGGCGCCCTGGCCATTGAGGTGGCTGCATGCTAATCTTTTGATATGACTGTCATGTGTTAGAGAACCAGACATTCCGACGTCTGTGTGACTTTTATCATTTGGCGCAGAGTGAAAACTCCCTTTGTTGTGTTGGGTTGATTAGCGGACCCTGTGTTTTGTGACGGAAATGGAAGACAGTGTGAGTTGTGTTTATAAGCATCCATGGTGCTAGCTCACGCCATTAGCCACATGTACTTCGCTAAATTATATTGTACTCCGGCTTCAAACTTTTTGAGTTTGTGCCGATGTGTCGAGATAAAAACCGAGAAGCTCATGAAAAGTTAGCGGATGTTTTTTGAACTTTGAAGCCGCCTGGGAGGGCTCTTTCTGCGGAGCCACTTCTGAGAACAACACCGGAGGACGGAGTGGGACGTCACTGCTAACTTGATGAGCTAACCTTGCTAACGGCTGGCTAACTGTTAGTCTAAAGTTACGTGTCGACGGAGAAAGTGACTGAAGTGGCGCAAAGAAGACGTCAACAAAGATGAAAACCTCGGGAGAGCCGGCATCTGAAGCTACCCGGCCTGCAGAAGCCTGGGACCACTGAGCTCCACCGGGCCACAGCAGGCTAAGACCACCGAGCTCCACCGGGCCTCTGCAGGACTTCAGGGCTTCATCAGGCCTACTCCACAGAACCAGGTCAGGTCATTCCATTATGGCTAAAATGACATTGGCTCAGGTTCATGAACTATTAGACCAACAGAAAGAATTCTTTAAAGAATCTATCAATCAAATTGAGAACAAGAGCTTTGTGAACGTCATAATGGAAAATACGAGCAAGAGGCTGGATAGCATTCTGAAAGATGTGGAGGAAATTTAAGATTAGCCTCCAATTCACACAGAAGGATGTTGACCAACTCAAAGAGTCATACAGCAGGCTTTCCCTGGACTGCAAAACATTTGACAAGGACAGTGGGAGACTTGGGGAATCCTTTAGCTCTACTATTGTGAGTCAATCAAGGCGAAATAACCTAATCATTGATGGTATTCCAGAGGTTGATGGTGAAAAATGGGCCGACACTGAACAGAAAGTGAGGGATATGTTCAGAGAGAATCTCCACTTAAACCCTACTAAGATTGGAAAATTGTCATGAAGTCCAGTACCCAGAGCTAGCAGTGAACGTCTGGAAATGGAAAATACGAGCAAGAGGCTGGATAGCATTCTGTCAAACGAGGTGTCACAATGACAGGGAAACTGTTCTTGGACATGGTCAAATCACATTACTACTATCATTAATGAAAATGGGCCAGGGGATCGCTGTTGCTCGCAGATGTTCTACCACCTACAGCATGATGGAGGCCAGAAACTGAGGCATTAGTTCTCTCCCATTTGAAGTATTGTATGGTTGTATAGTCCTCTGCGGCCAAAATGGAGATAAAGAAGCTCCAGCTGGCACAAAATAGAGCAGCTAGATTAGCAAATTTTTTATAATTTTTTTTATTTTACTTGCATGAAATGGCTGCACCAACGTTTGGCATGATTAACTGTTGAGGCTAAGTTAACTTCTAGTCTTGTTAAGTTTTCTAGTTTAAAGTGGTTGATGTCTCGATGGTTGAGGAAAAGCCAGACTTCTTCAGAGATCAACTACCCAATGCAGGTCAGAAGCATAATCATCAAACCACATTGGTGAGCTCAGGGTATTTATCTATTCCTATATGCCAAATTCAGACATACTCAAGAAATCTGTTATCTATACACTGATTCGGTGAAATGACCGGCTAAAGTGATATCCCTGCCCAAAGATCAAAAAGCTGCATTTTCTGGGGCTAATAGTAGGCCTATTAGCTTACTACATTAAAACATTACTTTATCAACAATGAGCTAATCACTCAATCCCAACATGCATACAGAGCTGGTCATTCAACTATTTCTGCTATTGTGCATATGGCTGATGAATGGTTTCATGAACTGGATAATAAGAAAATGGTTGGGACAGTGATGTTTGACTTCAGTGCGGCGTTTGACGTTATTGATCGTGAACTTCTAAGATGCCATTACTGTAACATCCATTCAGTTCTTAATTGTGCGCGATCCCACACCCCGCATTTAGATCTTGGCAGGCATGCATTTCTCGGCATAACACTGATAGCCCACGAAACAAATATTTAATTCCTACATTATTTTTCAATCACATAGGCTCGTACATAATGATTCATTGCCTGTTAGCTTGCGAGGGTCAGTATAAATGTAACCTAGCCAGTGTTTACACACACATCTCCTCCTACTTAAGTATTTCACAATGAAATACTTCATACTTTTCATCTTATTAATTCCCAAATTAATATCGGTATTAATTTAAGATACCTTCATCAGTAACCGGAGGCCACTGTCTGACATCGTCAAACCAGGTGACTTTACTCATGCTGTCAATGATGCTCTCAGACACTAAACGTACTAGCATACGTTTATTTGTTGATAGCATGACAACTTCATGACGTCGCACACCGCAGCAATAGCGCCGCCACAAGATGGCGGTGTACACAAATCGCTCACCCGAATCGGTGTATAGAGCCACCCAAAAATGGAACACTTTATCTGCAAATACTAAACAAATTAAAAGCAGGTACTTATTCAAAAAAGCTGTAAAACAAATATTACTGATGGAGGTCACACAACTGGAATAATTAACAGTTGATTGATACATAAATATTCTGTACATGATGCTCAACCTATTCATGTAATTCAACCTATTGTAATTTCTCATCATTGTTTTTTGTCATTTAGATTTAGACTGACCTGATGTGTGTCAGTTGTTTGTTTGAATAGTATGTTGTTTATGTTGTAATGTTTTATGGAAGGTCTTTATGGAAGTGGGAGCTAATGGGGCTCCAAATAAAGAATAAAGAATAAAGAATAACAGGGCAGCCTGTGGATTCCCAAAGCCTAAAAGCCACATTGCCAAACACTACCTGGAGCTCATAATCACAAAAACACATGTGAGGCGTAGATCCAGCTCGAGGCAAACGAGAAACAGACCAAAGAGACAAACACATTGTGCTTAACCTCCTCGCTTTAATCCTCAGGTCTGCACTTCGTCGGCTAAATTTGTTTTGGTCCGCGCCTGAGCTCACAGATATGGCATGTTTGAGGTCTGCCATCTTTGACTGGTGGCCTATGAAGTCAAAGTTTGGGCTGATTCAGTTGGAGGCTGTTGTCAAAATCTTACAATATGCCAAGATTTAAGATGTTTAACTGCTAAATTAAATTATAGGGCAGATTCTGAATTCAATTTGGAGAATTGAGGAAACGTTTGACAAGGGACACCATGGAGAGCACAGTTTCACGCTGCTTTCAAGGCACTTAGAGGTTGTATGTTTCTTTTGGTGTTCAAGGAAACTTGGGTCCGGATCAGTATGACAAATTTGAGGTCATATCATGGGCTGAAAAGGCCAGAAAATTGTATCAGAGCTGCTTTTTGGGTGGTTCAACGACAGTCTATCCTCTGACATGGCAGTTTAAAGGTCCTTTTGGGAGTTTTAACTGGATTTCATTAGAATTACATCAGAACTACGAGCATGGATGACATTTTGATTTCAAAGGTGGGGGCGACACATGTGACTTGGGTACTGTTGAGTGCTGTTGAGACATATGGCCTAGCAAACAGCGCATCTCGCACACACAGTAACCCGGGAATTCCACTGGATCCGGAATGGCTCTGCTCTACTCAGTACTGACAGGTGGATCACAAACATATGGCGCACACTGGATCCGATCCGCCACCGCCATCGGAGGAGAAGCTTTCACGATATTACTGATAGTTCTCACGAGACTGGACAAGGTCTCACAAGATCTCGCGTGTTTCCCCATGAGACAATGAATGATATCCACCGATCGTGCATAAACGTCGGTGTATATAAACATCCATATCCAACAACCCTGGCCTCTCCTTTTTTCAAGCTAGGAATGGTTCAACGTATTGACGTGCTTTTATTTTGAAAATTAACCTGATATTTAACTCTGTAGCCAAATACAACTTCCACTGCTGCTCGTGCTGTGCTGCAGTGGCATCCGGCAAAAATAGAAGCCTTGCGTATCTGATCTGGCCGCCGGAGCTGATCTGCAGCAGAGCCGGACCGCGGATGGATTCTGTGGAATGACACACATCGATTACAATGCTTGCATATTTGGAATGCCTGCTGTGCCGCAGCGGAGCCATTCCGGTTACTGTGGGTTTTGCCCGTAACAAAGGGGGCAATATGGCAAGCGGATGGATGAAAGTACAAACCCAATACAGGGATGTGAATGAAACCTCCGATGAATGTAACATTGCTGCCCTCCTGTAAACTTACATTGGCGAATAGGGATGTTCACGGACTGACTCTTACGAGCAACTTGCAAAACACAAGTCTGGCAGGCGTGGAATGACTGACAGCAGAGATAGCCAATCAAGGACCTTGTGGGCGGTCCAAACCGAGGGAAACCAGTTTTCGGCTTGAGTGGCTGTTTGGTCCTAGTGCCTGACCTGTATCGGTGTGCGATAGCATGAAGTTGTTTTTAGACGGTTAAAACTGTAGGGGACCAAAACGGGCTTTTGAAAAAGTGAGGGGGGACATGTCCCCTGTGTCCCCCCCACAAATTACGTCTTTGACTATGAGTTTGATATAACTCACAGAAGCAGACAAGACCAGTCACCCTCTGGTTTCTAATGCATAGTTCTGGACCTTTTTGGCAATGGTCACAAAGTTGTTTGATATTAAAGCTTTTAAGTCCAGAGCTTGGAAAGAACTTAAGGGTGTTTTATTTCCTCTTATTTGTAATTCATGTTTCCACTGAACTTTCAAAGTAGCTGTTTCTTGGAAGACTTTTTCTTTTTTTCAGCTGGACCTGTTTTTTTCTGCACGGCACAATAATAAAATCCAAAATTCCCCTTAAATTCAAATCTTTTAGCAGACTGACCTGGTTCTCACAACACTCTGCTGAACCAACACACACGTGGAGGTCGAGGGGGACAAAGAAAAGCAGGAATGCCTTCACGTGCATATGCAGTACACCTCAGCTGATGAGAAACACATGCCTGCTGTAGCTTTAGACGGACACATAGCATGATTTTCTCATATAATATCTTTGCCATACAGTGTAGGAGGATGGAAGTGGTTTGATTTGATTAAATTAAGGCCTTTTTTCAAGCTGCTCTCACTTACCTGCCCTCATGAAATCTACTGCCAAGAGAAAATAAAGTGACGCAAGATTATTACATGTGTCTTTTATGTTGCCCCAGCCGCGGCTCGACCTGCTCGGGGTGCTGCAGTCAGAGTCTGGCCAGTGTCTTTCACTGTGGCCTTGCTGCTCAGATTTGGCTCAAGTTTGCTCTCCCTGGACTGCACATACACACTTCATGCTGCAGAGTGGGTCAGTAGGACAATGTTGTGTGTGTGTGTGTGTGTGTGTGTGTGTGTGTGTGTGTGTGTGTGTGTGTGTGTGTGTGTGTGTGTGTGTGTGTGTGTGTGTGTGTGTGTGTGTGTGTGTGTTTGTCTGGGTTTCAGTTTTATTTTGATCTACAACCTCACTGTGGATCTGGTATCCAGCAGGATAAAGGGGGAACGGTTGATTGCACAGTTGGCAGTGCTTTTAATGAGGACTTTTCATTGGGGCTGTATGACAGGAAGAAGAAACATTCACATGCACATAAACTGACTTTAATCCCCAAACCACTGTACGTACAGTATATCATATTCTGCTGGTATAATCTGCATTTTATGGCATGGATAAAGAGCCTCTCAGGTGCATGCACATTCCACCTAAAGCCATGCAGTTTCACGTATATCATGACAAAGAGTAATACCAACAGACATCCGAGGCTCCAGCAATCCCAAAGTAAACCGACACTGCCGGCGACCAATCCCTGGTGCCGCTCTGGCAGCCGTCCAGAGTGTTCATTTACAGAAAAACTTTCCATGAGGTCTCTGGATGAAGAAGCCAGAGGTGGTGCAGCGGTCTCATGGAGGGCAGAGAAATTTTCCCAGATGACACTGCATTTTGTTTTGTGACCCTTTTTATTCTAATTGTGGTTTGCAGGCTGCTTGGTGTTGTCCTGCGGGCGCTGACTAAAAGCCGTACGTCTGGGGGGGAAAATAAATGTGGGAGGAAATGTGACCATCCTGAATCATCATCTTTCTGAAGAAATCCCCCTTCATGTGATGCCCTCATTTGGGAAGATTGTCCTCAGAGTGTTGGAAAATTACACCCAATGTTTTCGACTGTGTGTCAAAAAAGACCTTTAAAATTCAAACAGCTAGTAATCTTGATTGTCAGCAATCAGCAAATCCCTGCCCATAACCACCTTATGGATGTGGGGATGTGGACCATCAAGCATAGAAAGAAAAATTTTTCAGATTTGTGTTTAGTGAGTGCCGGAATGACACTCATCTTCAGAGTAATGCTAGTGTGCTCTGTAGCAAACCGAGTCCCTGTGTGGGCTTCATCATTAACCTGCTCTTGTGGTCTGTGGTGGGTCTGCAGATTTGGTGGGTATACCCGTCATCTACGGATACACAGTTAGGCCTTTTACAGAAATCCCAAATATGGAGCCTCAACCCGAATTTCCACCACATCTGGAACGGCAGTGATTTTCGCTGTCCGCCAATTGCTACGGAATCCATTTGTGAGGTGAATTTCATGGCAGATTACAGACAGTGAGAATCGCAAGAACTCACAAGAACCTGCAGATTCACGTCCAATCACGCGATAACAGGTTGTCTCTATAAAGACAGCCACGTAACCATGTAAGCAGTAGACTGTGTCCTTCCAGAGGAGAAAATCCACTTCTACACTTTTACAATCACCATCTCCTCATCCATGGTGTCATCGGAGTGAAATGCTGACTAAAACCCTCATCCCCACCCATTTGCATGGTGTGAAATACGGTCCACCTGAAACACAGAGTGTTTTATTTTGAAAAGAAGCCAGATGTTTTATTTTGTGTCTGTGCCCGACTTCCTTTCCAGCACGGGCTAATCAGTGCTGAATTTATCTGGCATGCTCCGGCGTCGGAAAAGAATAGAACTCTTCGGAGTCCGGCAATCTGCAGTGGAACGGAAAGAAGCCAGTAGAAACGGAAACATTAACTTGAATGGTTACGGTCAGCTACGATCTGCGGATACGGCCTTTTCATAGCTGTTCCGGATGCGGTGGAAATTGCGGGTCAGTGAGGCATTTTTAAGGTAGAGCTTTCAATTCATGTGCATAATACGTTAAGAAGAATCTGCAAGTGTCCTTCTGGACCACGTAGATCTTCAAGTACCATGTTTGCAAGATGAGATTGCTGTTGTGCCAATGGAGTTGATCTAGCTATTTGTCCTCTTACCATTTTAGTCCATCTCTTAACAGCCTAGCTCCAAATGATCAAGTTCGCAAAAATTTCAAACAAACTTTTTCACTTTGTGTCGAATTTTGAGATGAAACATGAATTTAATCCATTTTGGAATAAGGCTGTAACTCAAGAAAAAGTGTAGCACTGTGAATACTTTCCAGATGCACTATAAATATCTGAATTCCCCTTCAATACAATGTCGTCTTCTGCCCATAAAAAATTCCCATTTTTTTACGAACACACCGTCTTCTCTGGAAAAATATTTTCCAAAGCGTCCAAAATCGGTCAAAAACAAAAGGAAACAGATGCTTGAAAACACATAAATCGATGCAGCTTTGCCAAAGACTTCAACACAACACACCCCAGAGATGCTGACGAAGACAAAAAAACCCTTTGGGTATTTTCACCACATCGCAGTCGAACTTGGTTCCTGTACAACTGATTCAGATTTGAAGTAATCTCTTGGTCAGGTTGGCCCTTTAACATTAGCCTCTCTCATTGGCTGATTTCAGATCAGTAGTTAGTGGATTCTGCTGCCTTTGGGCTGTGAAGGACTTCTGAATGAACTTCCATCTGAAACCATTTAAAGTGTTTATGTCAGTGTGTGATATGGACATATGTCTCTATTTAAACACGGCTCCTTACAGTATAGTCTATCGTTAACATTGTACTGTACATGAAATGATCCGTGACGCCCCAGGATTAGGTCCAGACTTCGACATAAGGAAATGCTCATGTCAATGAAAACAGCAAAGCTTCCAAAACACCAGTACGGTAGTTATGAGGCTGACTCCAGGAATTTGTAGGAAAATGGGGTTAGTTTAGGTTCGGTTTAATTTGAAGGACAGCTTAGAGGTTTTGTGGTTTGGATTCGTTAGTGCAGTTGATAGCTATGTGCCCTCCAACGATTGTTTGGCAAGGTACTAGTGTTGCTGCTCCAACCAGCCTATCATAAACCAGATGGGGAGGGGTCAGTCACCTTGGTAACTGGAAAAATAGATGTTAAAATAAATGTTTTTGCAGCTCCAGATATTAGCTGTGTCCAAATCTGTAGTCACCTCATACAATAAAAAAATGACTCTACGGGTGAAATCTGTTCACTGAGCCTTCACGTGTCTGCGAATACACCATGGGACTGGATGCACACTCAACCAGACATGCAGATTTGCACACACTCTCTGAAAGTGTAGGTGCCTCACCAGCATATGTCAGAATGTGTTTATTCTGCAGTTAGTGGTCTGTGAAACCTGAATGAAATCTCCCACTGTGTGTTAGCTTGAATGAGGCTTTTACCGGATTGTAGTCTGGACATGCGAGGCCATGCATACACCACAGGTCAGGTCTAGTTGAGCTCTTGTGGAATACACTTCCTTGACTTGAACCCGTGCAGCTGTAGTCAGATATTGACTCTGGGATTTACAGTCTTGACACAAGAACATGCAAACCTGCCTTGGTGGGCTGCTTCCAAATGTAAAAGGCTAAAGGTCAAAGTCTAGCGTCTTTCTCAGAATCAGGAAAATCCATTTGGGATCCAAAGGAGGATGTTTTGACTCTTGGCTGGGTGATTTTCATCTAAAGGTAGCAGAGAAACAGGCCAGAGGGCCTCTTTTTATAGTTTTATGTCTGCTTTCCTGTTTTTCTGCGATCGTAAACTTTCGCTATTCTCCTAAATCATTCTCTGAACCACAAAGCAGCCCAGCCCAGTCACCTGATTAAAGCGGGATACTGACGGTCGCCTAAAATCATTACTTGTTACCTCAGCAGACCTTAAGTTATGACATTTTTAGTGTATGACATAAGAAGATGAATTAGAGTCAGAGGAAGAGCGCCTCGTGCCTTCTTGACACTTTCATATTTGAGTGATTGACTGAGCTGCACAAACACGATCCATGGCAGCGCTTCAAAAACCATCACCAGAGGCTCCTCGTGCATCTCCGCGGGTGTGTTTGTGAGTGTGTGTAAATCTGTCCAGATGTGACAAACAGAAACGAGTGCTCCTCAAAACATTTTTTTTTCTGTCCCTTGTTGTCCACAGCACTTGGCTGCACAGACATGGATCAAACTCTCAGCTGTTTGGCCCGAACGTTGACTCTCTCCGCCTGTTATTTTTGAGCGTGTTGGGCCAAATTATGTTGGACTGTTAGCAGAAAAACTGGTCAAAATAGGATGTTGTCATCCAGTAGAGTTTTATGTAACTTCAGTTGGCTTATTTTTGTATTCTAGATAACACTTTCTTCATAAGGTTACTCAACAGGACTTAGTCTTAACTCTGGTGGCATGAGTGTGTTAAAGATGTGCTTTGAAGGGCAGCCTGAAGGGTCAAACTCACAGTTGTGTTTTAAACCTCCGTGTTACACCATTTACTGAATATAAACACTTATCTTCTCCCTCTCCTGCTGCTAGATCAGAATGAAGCCAATTAGCAAAATTGAGTTAGGGTCCAACACAACATAACACTGAGTAAGACACCCCCTCGAGAGATGAATGTTGAGGATAGCTTGCTTCTCTAGCTAAACCAACTTTTGTAACGACCGCACAATAGCAATACACAGCGGTCAGGGCTCCCCCGCAAACAAGCGGCTGCTGGAAGAGAGTGGGTGAGTTGTGTTTGGTCTCTTTGTTGGTGGCAAGTACTATGACTGGGACCCTATATGTACTGTTGATGAAGTTAGGTGCTGTTCTGAACGTTATTTGTGGCTATAGAGTGGCGTTTTGGTTGAGGTTTGCACATGGAGTTGTAGACTGCTGAGTATTGCTATAGTGCGGTCGTTACTAAAAGTGGTATAACTAGAGAAGCAGGCAGTCAGCAACATTCATCTCTCAAGAACTCAGTGTTACAGTGTGTTTGACTCTAAATTAATTTTACGCCGAAATGTCCCTTTAGTGCAATGGTAATCACAGCTTTGGAGACGGTGGCCGTGTCCGAAATGGATCCCTAACCCCTATATAGGTGACTATATGGGGGTTAGCGACATTTTGAGGGGTGTCTGAAACCTGAGTGATCAATTCCAATGCCCCATATAGGCGACTCAAAATTTCCCATAAAGCATTGCAAAATGTAGTGACCATCCGTTGGCTACTCACAGGTGGTGGGCATCCCATTAGGTATTGCGTCTTGCCATGTAGTGTCCGAAACCTCCAGTAATTGAGTTCACTACATAGTCAGTTATATGGTGAAACCCCATATGGGAGTTAGGGATTAGGGTTTGAGTGATTCTGTGCAGTCCACATCAGGTCCCAGAGACCTAGCATTGATGTCCCTCTCCTTCCCCTAACTGAAAAGCATCTTTGACTCACAATTAAGATCTCTCAGGTGGATAGTCCACATGAGACCAGGTTCTTTTGCCCTCTCAAATCCGCTTTATGTTATCACACTAACTTAAGACCTCATTTTTAAGTGTATTTTTATATCTTTTACATATTTATTTCTACTGGGAGCGGGGTACACTTACTTTAGTCAAGAAATGATCATATACATGTGTTCAGACGTGGACCTTCATCATGCACATGAAATTTTGAAGAGATTGACTAACTTCCTGTCATGTGGCCACTGTTCATTGTTAACCTTTTATCTATATAAGTAATAATTTTCATAAAACAATGACATTACTGTGGTTTACTCAACCCTTTATATATTGTCTTTGCACCTTTTTGAATCAAAGTTGGGTTTAAAAATGTTTTATTCTGTCCAAATCTGATTTTATGAAGATTAGAAACCTAACCTTTTGGAAATAGGGTTGTCAATTACATCACCCTGATGGCGTCATGTAGGATGATCTATTCCTCCATGTCATGTGTCAGCGCGATCATCCAGTCTTGTGACCTCACCCCTGGTTACTTCCAGCCCTCATCACCGGCCTGCAGTAGCAACTAAAAACACTTTTTTAAGGAAGTCAGCGCTGTCTGGTTTGAACTCTACCACAATCCGCCCCAAACCCCTTATTTAAAAAAAAACCTTGCCCTTTTTTTATTATTTCTAAAGACACTTGGCAAAACCTCCAACCACCCCCACCCACCCATCACCCCCTCCCTCCCCAGCTGAGACCCACCCAGGCAGGGTAAACGCAGGGCAAGGCCTCCCTGCAGCTCCCTTTACCACCATCTCTGGTCACCAGCAGGTCAGCCTCACCACCAGAGCCGGGTCAGGGCCTGTAATGGTTCCATCTCTGCCTGGAAAAACAGCCTGAGGCCTGGACACAGAGCCTGGGAATCTGGCCTCCACCTGCTGCAGAGAGAATGGAAAGATTTGTGGGAAGAGAGAAAAAGATTGAAGCTGACATGTTAACAAGCCCCTTAATCGAATATTTTGTGTTCAGGACTTTTTATTAAAACATGGTATAAAAAGGAAAATTGGGTGAGATAATTGCTCTCAGGTCCAATACAAATCTTGTTTTAAGAATTAGTTACGAGGACATGTGTTTGCCTTTATTTGATCCCTTTATTGGGTTTAATGGAATTTCAGCTTTTGCATTATTTTTGGCAATTAAGATATTTAAGCCATGAACAGATATTTATTTACACATTGAAGGAAGGGTGTGTTTATGTTTAAGAGATAAATGTCTTAAGATGGAAATTGGCACTATGCTTCAACAGCTGAATAAGACTGGGCTGAGCGGGTCTCTATGATAACAGCGCTGTGAACTCCAGCTGCAGCTTCTTGCCCACTATGGAAAATGGCAGTTTTCGGATTCTTCTGGTTTGGTCCATCATGTGGCTTTTGGAAAGCATCTCGTTAAAGACGTAGGTGGCTGGAAAAAATGTGAACTTTGGGAGTTATTAGGTAACTTTCTCCCCTCAGTATCTGACGTCCTCTGGTGATTCAGGGTGGGACTGGAAAGATGATCTGTCCTCACTGACTTAAAGATTACAACCGAACAGAAACTGTGCAATCAGATATTTGTAAAAACACAGGGGGGTTGAAAAAATGTAGTTCCTTCTTAAAAAAGAACTCTTCTTCTTCTTCACACTGCCATGGCGCTTTCTCCCATTTTCAGTTTACGAGCTGGATAAACCTGACCTTCATGAACGTTCACCCTGATTCCACTTCCCTGCACAAACATGAAAACACATTTCTCAAATGCACTCTCTCTCTTTCAGTCTTATCTTGACTGAAAAAAAAAAAAGCTCCGGTAATCCCAGTTAGTTCAGATTTCACTCAAAAGGTCACCTGAGAGTTCAGAAATTCTCAGGTGCAGGTTGAGAGAAACCACTCTGGCTTTGCTCTTTGAGGACATTCCTGTTTAATTAAGGGTTAGCCAGGCTTGGTATGTAGAGGAATGACACAGAAGGGGCTGGAGGTAGAATATCTGTGAGGGCGTTTCCATAAAAAGCTGGTAAAGAAAAGAAACAGAGATTTCCTAATCAGCTTTATTTTTTCATGAGTGTCAAAGGTCCTGTGAGGACCTTCAAACCAGGTTATGAAACAGGTGGAATTAAATCTAGATGTTTCTATATAAGCTGCAAAAAAATCTAGACCAACAGGGAGAACTGATTATCCACTTATGGTTATTTTTAATATCTGGCTGAGTGTGTTTTGGGGGGCAGCCAGAGAGAGCATTTAACAGCACAGTGAAGAAACAGGCTTCCCCACGAGAAAACCTTTAATAATCGTACAAACCTGACTTCAAAAAGGTTAAGATGTTGCAGATATCCATATAGAAATATTGTAGTTTCAAATAGTCTAAACCCTACATTTGATTATAAACAGTGCAAGGAAAACATTTAAATACTGAAACTGAAAATGTAGGTGTCATCTAAAAGGGGCAGCAGTGTCCATGAACTCCAATGAGAGTGTCACATTCATTTTCGTGTATGTGAGTGGTTTCATCCTTGCATGGTTCAGTTTAAACCAGCGTTTGATGAACTGTATTCTCACACAATGATTCAGGAGTTATTTTGAAGACTAGGGCTATGTTCACACTGCAGGTCAATTCCGATTTTTTAACCATATGTGACACATATCAGATTTTAAGTGTGAATAGTGCAATGCCTCTTTTATATGTGGATATAAATCGCTATGTATCCGATGTGATGGCAGTTTGGACGCTCAGGTCGCGTTCATCCGACCTACACGTCATCAATATGCAACAAACGTCACCATTGTTCGACAACACAAACAGGCTTGGAAAGCAATTTGTGCTTTGTGCGCATGCGGGTCACAACACGCTGCATTCGTTGTTGTAATGTGAACGACCGCACATAAAGATCGGATTTAACAAAAAATCCAAATTGTGCATCATAACCTGCAGTGTGAATGTAGCCTATATGGTGATTACCACTACAGAGTCATGTCAGATTTTGATGCAGTGATGCCTGACCCCAAATTTCCACCGCATCCGTAACGGCTCAGAGCCGGAATGACGGGGATTGTTTTATTTTGAAAAGAAGCCAGATGTTTTATTTTGTGTGTGTGCCTGACTTCCTTTCCAGCACGGGTTAATCAGCACGGTTAGAATTCTCGCGTTCTGCTGCGGAGTCCGGTGATCCGCAGCGGTTTGAACAGTTTGCTCACGCAGTCTCTCACAAAGTGCCGAACCTATTTCTATCAGTCCTTACAAGAGACTCGGCCTCTCTGAATACCCTTTTGGTGCACAGTCATGTTACCAACCTGCTGAAGATCTTACTCCAGGTATCTGTTTTAGCATTGCACAACTTTTAGAGTATTTTGTTGCAACTTTTTAAAAAGCTTTTACAGTTGTTAAATTTAAAGTGTTTTTAACAGTTCATATACTGTCTTGGGACTTTTTTCATTTGATTTGAAGGAGTTGCAAACCATCTAAATCTGTTCTTGTCAATATTTCACGTCATCCAACATTTGTGGAGCATTCCGGTTGTACATTCAACTACAAATCACAAGTTCCTCACTGGAGCTTTAAGTGCATTTAAATTACATATTGCCGCAAGACAGACGGTCTTATTTAGTAAAAACAAATATAGCAAGACAGCTTTCTTTAAACAGCTCAGACAGAACGAAATGTTAACTATGTAGAGAAAATGGTGGCTTATAGTTGGTTAGGTTTGCAGCGACAGCTGACAGTACATACATAGGAGATAAATGCAAGTACATACCCAAGGCCATGCCTACAAAACACACCCTCAAATTACTGTTTGGCTTAGAAAGCAGGATGTATCTAAGCCCACTCAATCTGACCGTTGTCCGGGTGACGGCCAATGGGAGCGGGAGGTTAATTAGGGAGTCAGCGGCTGGTCTAGCCGAGTGCAACTGTCAGTCATTCTCCTAGTTGGACAGAGAAGGGTAAAAGAAAAGATGGAGGAAAAGAAGGAAGTAAAAGAAGCTGGAAAGCACCTGAAGTGTGAGTCAGGGGAGGAAGAGGAGGAGGAGGGTGCTGGGTGCAGCTGCAAAAACACAGTCTGGCAGTCCAAGGGGTAGCTGCTAGACCTGTGTACACACACTTAATATACATGCTCGTCCATATGCTCTGAAAACATTTCCTCATTCGCCAAAACTGTCTTGTGTCGCCATAGAAACCCATAAATCAGCAGCTGCAAGCACTTTCTCATCGTGATACGCTAAACAGGTTCAGAAATATATAAATGTGTCGCATATGCTCAGGCTAAGGTCAGCTAGTGCAGCTAGCCGCAGTCGCTGATCCACACCCCCGCATCTGGCAGCCGTGGATCTGGCCTTGGCCCTCGCTTCACAGCCCTGTGGTGGTCTGCTGCGGGTCTGGGTTTCCCAAAAGCATCTCGCCCTGAGCCGGTCTGAGTGTCTGCTGAAACAAAGCTGGACTCCTCACAGAGCAGCAGACCAGAGTCCAGATTTACTGATTGCTCTGCAGCAGCACTTAAACGCAGAGTAAACAGGACTGTGAAATCTTGAGTGTTGTTTCACTCTGAGGTCACAGTAGCAGCAAACATGGCAGGGCTGTAGACAGAGAGGTCCCAGTTCAAAGAAAGCTCCGGCTCATTTTATCAGACCTCGGTTTGTTGTAAATACCCTCAGCTCTGCGCAGCTGCAGGTTGACTGTAACATGTTTTTACTCTGCTGAGGAAATGACATCACCAGACTCTCCTCACTCTACCCCCCTTACACTTTACCTCTTAGGAGAGGTAAACTCTTCTGCAGAGGACCACAAAGGAAAACACACCGTTGAAAGCATTTTTGATTCCAACAAGTTTCAACACTGATCCTGAAGCTAGAAAACAGTAAAGCTCACCGTGCAGGATACCGAACTTCATTTGCAGTGTTCCTACGCAAGTATGGAAAAGTATGAAATAAATTTGATCAAATTCCAGGTCTTAAAAAGTATAGAAAATGAAAAATAAAGTATGGAAAAATATTTATGTTTCCAGACTATCACCACAGTTCTAAAATACTGTTTTTTAAAATAGAAATGTAGGTGTTTCTAAAAATAATTCTAAAAAGTAGGGTATGAAAAAGAATGGAAATTCCAACCGTATAGGAACCCTGAGTTTGTAGCGTCATAAGAAACAAGTAGATGCAGGATTGGCTAGCGAAGATTGTTTTTATATGAATTGGTGAATGGTGAACTTGAGAATTAGTAGAATGGTAAATTGGCAAAGTTAAAAATAAGCCCACCATTTTTTGATAATGGTGTCCTTCAGGGTTCGATATTAGAGGAATATTCTGGTGTAAAATTACTTTAAGGTCAAACATACCGTAACACTGATTTAGACACTTGTGAGATAAATGTTGCTGACCGCTTGCTTCTCTAGTTATACCAACTTTAGTAACGACCGCATGATAGCAATACACAGTGGTCTGAGGAGCCATAAACAAACCTCAACCAAAACGCCACTCTATAGCCACAAATAATTCTCAGAACAGCACTTAACTTCATCAACAGTACATATAGGGTCCTAGCCACAGCAGTATCCACCAAACATCTTTTTAACTTTGCCTAATTTCTTTCGCAAAGAGACCAAACACAACTCACCTACTTTCTTCAAGCAGCCGCTTGTTTGTAGCGAGACCTCAGGCCAGTCTATTACGGACTACAGCGGGGTGACGCAGCTCAAGGAAGAACATTTATGATTATTTCTTTCATCAGACAGAGACGCTAAGGCAGAAGAACTACCGCGTCTGCAGTGCAAAATGATTAATATGATAATTACTGCTTCAAGGAAATGATAAATGAATGATCATAAATGTTCTTCCTTGAGCTGCGTCACCCCGCTGTACTGGGACTGGGCTGAGGTCTCGCTACAAACAAGCGGCTGCTGGAAGAGAGTAGGTGAGTTGTGTTTAGTCCCTTTGCAGTCCTACTCTTTGAAGTATTGTTGATACTGTCCTATCGGTCGGCAACATTCATCTCTCGAGGGGGTGTCTAACTTGGTGTTACAGTGTGTTCTACCCTAAGTTAATTTTACACTGGAATATCCCTTTAAGTCCTCTGCTTTTGACTCTGCAGTTTAATAATAATGAATTTCCAACTGTTTAATTTAATTTTACAAAATAATTAAAGCTTGAGTTAATGTCTAAGCAGTGCTGATCATAAACTGCTGAAAGTGCCTACGTGTACCAGAATGCATTGTGCAATAGCAACTAAAATGAGTTTGAAAAACAGACAGGGAAAAATAAAAATTAGAGCCATAATTTTAAGGACTTATTAAGTTACACTCAACTAAATTGACTTTTCTTTGCAGCTGTTTTGACCTCAACCTTGTGTTTATACTCTGCTGTGTGATTTATGTGTTTTTGTGATTTTATAGTAAACAGTTGCCACCTCATGACTGAGTAGACAAGGAGAGGAAGGGTTGGGCTCAAAAAGGAGGAAGCAGATAAAACAAAGATGAAAGCATTTCAAGGCGCAGGAGGGAAAACACTTTGGGGAGGTATGTTTATGAATGCAGCTTAAGATCATAATCGTGAAAACATGAGCTCGCAGTGAGGTTCGAGACTCTGCTGCTGCGAGAGTGGAAAAAAAAAAAAGTTCTCCTGCTGTAGCATTTCACTGTGTAAATGTTCCTGTATTTTCTGTGTGCTCAGCAGATGTCTCACACTGATGACACACACAGATCTGTGCATTAGCCCATGAGCTGACCTCGGATCAGTGTGGAGCGCTGACGTGGACATACAGAATAACAAGACAGAGTTTGAGAGTGGATCATTTGACACGTTTTGTTCCACAGCAGCTGGAAAGAGAAAAGAAAACATTTATCTGGTAATGGTGTCACTATAACACAATAATGTCTGTATGTGGACTAGTATACTGAACAAGTATTCACTACAGGTTTTTGCGTATGGCTCTAGGTGGCCCAAAACAGGTCACAGTGCTCATGCTGGCTCCTGTTCACTGTTGAGGGCACTTGAGCTACACCGCAACCCAATATTAGAAGGTGGCCTTGAGAAACATCAAGTCCAAGGTGTTGACTCAGCCCCTAAAATTCCTCAGATTTCTATCAGATCGAGCATCTGCAGGGCTTGCAGGACAAACAAGCCTGAGCCATAAAGGCCCCAACTCACAGCTTCTAGGACTTATAGGATCTACTGCTAATGTCCTGCTGCCAGATACCACAGAATGCCTTCAGAGGTCCAGGGGGGTCCATGTCTTGTCAGGTCAGGACTGGTCCACCTCTACACTAGTCTGCGCCCTTCTATGCGTACACTATTAAGGCAGCTAATCAGCACAGAGCCTAAACTGAGAGGCTGCAGATCATCCTCAAAGTTGGAATTTGTGAAGGGGAATTTACGCAGGTTCCTCTGGAGGGGTTGCCGTATTTGCTTTGGTGTTTTTCCGCCTCTACACCAGTCTGCATCCTCCTCTGCGGACACTATTCAGGCAGCCAATCAGCACAGAGCCTCAATATCATAGCATCTCTGTCCACTCAGATCACCCTGTGACTAATGAGGTATAAACTGAGAGGCTGCAGATGATATGCTAATGCAGGATTATTGATGTTTATTGATGAATCTTTACCCATGACCATGAGTTGAACGTGAAAGATGTAGTTGATATCATTGAAAGCGTGTTATTGTCATCATGTCTCTTGTCTGTTCGGATGTTATAAAACAAGGACTTGTTGATAGATACTGATGTCACTGTTAATGACCAAACATGATCATCTCTTAATTATCCTTTTTCAGAGCTTTATGTTTTCATTGACGGGTAAATACTGTATGTTGCAGTAGAAAACATTATGTTGACTTTTATGGTCCCCTTCCTGTTGCAGGAAACGTATCTGTAGATTAACGTAGGTGTCATTTGTTCCTGGAAGGATTATCGGCATAGGCGCTAGTTTTCCACCCATGCCTCATTTATCCAGCTCTTTTACCACTTTGTTCCTTCTCCCAGCATGCCTCAGGCCAAAAAGCAAGGGAACCACCCTTTACAGGTTGCAGGTCTATTTGCAGCACTTTGCGAGGATAAAAATACACTCCACCAAACAGACAACAATGCCGTCCATGTTAGCAGGCTAGCTTGTTAATGACGCTGCAGTTTACGAGTGGTCTGTTTCTCACCGTGGAAACGTTTTGCAGCCACTCAGAGGCCAAACTGGCTCCTATAAACAGGCTACTAATTCAGATTATTTACAGGGGGTATTAAATCATAAGAGGGCTCTTCCTGTGTGTAGAAAACACACCGTGTGTTTCATTCTCTTGCTCCTTTCTGTCCCTTCTGCTCCCTTGGATATGTTGTAGGATAATGGGGACTGGAAATCCAGTTCCTCTCATAAAGCGTCTTAATTGCTCCTCCTGGAACTTCCCCACAGTCCCTCCCCCCTTTTCAGACAACCGCACAAACACACTCATGTTAATCTGTCACTCCAACGAGCCAAATGAAAACACCTTAAGGATAAGTTTGTCGTAGCTGTTGGCGAGGACACTGGAATCTTTGGATTTTTACACAAACGCTGTTTCTAATACCACGCAGCTCATTCACAGGGGTGGGCCACGTCCTCAGGGCTTAAAAACATGGAGAATCATCCCTCCATAAAACTTACAAGACCCCAAATACCAATTATTAGCTATCAAGGTCCAAGAAGTGCACTGACTTGCCTCTGAAATATGCAAAAATGACATAATAAGCCCTGCTTTGGCCATGGTGAAGGAAAGTAATTTACTAAAATAAGACTCCTCAGTTCTGGTTGACATGTCACAGTGAAAAGAGAAACTCATTCTGCAGCCCTCTGGGGTTAAACTTGTCACCACTGCTGTAGTGAAGTGGCCGAAAAACAAGCCAGGCCCACAGAGACACCTTTATGCTGCGCCAACAGCCGCTGGAACCCAATGGAAGATTTGGGGACTGTTGCAGCTGCCATGATACTTTAAAGCAAAAACGGGGGGGAAAAAGTTCCATCGTGTGCAAGGATGAGTTTGTTTAAGTTAGTTTGACATTTGCATGGAGAGCTTTGGGGTAACAGTTGCAGTTTGACGTCTAAGAGGTGGCCAGAGATGGGGCGTAAACCGCTGCTGAATAAATCCAAATCTAAATTGAATGATGGTCAAAGCAAAACCTGTTTACCAAGTGTGTGTTAATTCGTTTAATACTGTGTATTTTCTCTTCTATTACAAGGGTCTTGTCAGGCTGGGGTTTTTAACAATTTCTTAACATTGATTGGGAGTGATTGGGAATGGCTTCAAAGGCAACAATGAGCTAATGCTTTGAGGTATAGCTGCATTAACTTGTTAGCAGCAGTGGATTGTGGGTAATTTGTACATGAGATTCTGTCGACTCAGTCCAGGATATCTGGACAATCTCACAGAGTATGGGTGGGGTTGACGTCATTAATGGCAGCAATTACTCTTTAAATGTTTTTTTCTTCTTCGTGACATCCATCGTCATAATGGGAATTTTACTCATCGGTGGCTCAAAATCACTGCTTTTTGACAGTCACAGGGAACCGGCTACATTCTTTTGGGAAACATGAGTGTGAAAGGGTTAGAAAAGTTAACAAACAGGGCCACAGCCCACACCAGACAAGAGGAGCTGAAATGACGGACCACACAGTTAGCGCCCCCGAGAACCTGGGCTACAAGATCTATTAACACAACAAACCGCCGGGTGTAATTTCCCCACAGATGAGCCAGCTTCTCACTGCCAGGGAATGTAGCGAGGATGTCAGAAATAAACCTCAGAAATGCTCCGAGCCTGTAGTGCAGGTGGAGGTTTAATAGCATCAGTTCTTTTGTGCAGCAGAAGCTTCAAAAAGAAGTCTGTGCTTTTAATTTGAAGGGTTGATTTGATTAAACCAAACAAGGTTCCCAGTTTGGAAAACAGTCCCTGACCTGGAAAACAAATCAGACATTTCTGAATTTAGCCTGTATTTTAGACATCTACAAGATCATCCAATTTTAGTTGACACTGTTGTAAATATTGTGAATTTCATGACAAAGGGATGTGGCTCAAACATGCTGTGCAAACTGCACGACTGAGGTTTGAACTAAACTTTGAATGTACATTAAGGCATGCAAATATGGTAAATCTGCTTGTGCACAAGAGCTAGTGTTTCATAAGTATTGTTTAACAAGTTAGCATCTTTATTTTTGCATATTAGCAAGCTAGCATGCCAATAGTGTGCTATGCAGTGGTAAAAGTAACTCACAAAAGACAGAGAGCTTGATGCTGTGATGTAGTAAAGCGGCAAATAACAGTATCATCTGCATAAAGATGAAAATAAGCATCCGGAAACTTGTGTTTGATACTGTTTATAAACCAGTAAATTTTTAACAACCGTGGTACCAACAGTTGGTCTATATGTCACAACTGGTGAAGAGTATCGAAAGCCTTTGACGCGTCAGTAGCGGGTCATTTACGGGATATTTAAAAGTCTTCGATCAGATCAAAAGTTTGGCCAATGAAGGTGTTTCAATTCTTTTCCAAAAGGCTTCTTCGAATCTGATCAAAAGTTCTGGTTTTGGTCGCTTACCAGTCAGAGCTTGGTTTTGTGTTTCGTTGTCTAAACATCAGTTTTCAATCTTGGTTTGAATGAATGATAAAATACCATCACCAACCTTGCCAGTCATTACTGTTTATTTGTAATGTTAAGATTTTAAAATTCTGGAAGTCTGGATAAAATGGCACATAGCCTGTCTTCTTTGTCTTCTTTGAAAACCTTGGAGAGGCATTAGCTCTTATCCCCCCTCTGTGTTCGGTGCTCTTGAGCCAAAATAACAAAAATAAATGATAGGAATATCAGCAGGAGTGGCTTTCAAAGGGTGTTAAAGATTTTTCATCCTTGTGGAATATTTGTGTTAGCACAGCTGTAGGTCTCATGTACTAACATTTAGGGGACTGGAACTGCAGACATCTTGCATTTGATGGTGCAAAGTCATTTTGTGTAACGGTTGTTTATTTCTTCAACCGTTTGTAACCAGTCAGACCTACAGGGCAGTAAGACGATGAAGAATTCAGCTCTCAACAGGCCTTAGGCAACCCTTTTCTCCTGCCATGTGGTGGTTCGGAGGCTCATTCAGAGCACATGCAACAGTTTTGTTTGGGTAACATTACTGTTCCCTCTATGGCAGAGCCAGTCTGTCTTCTATTAAGCTCTACAGTGACCTCTGACCACATGTAGTCTGAGATATGAATCATAAGCACATGGTTTGTATATAGTTTCCTCTGCTATCGTATGTACATCATGTATGGTTACAGGGGTTGGTGGAGTATTCCTTAAGCAGAGTCCTGGGGGAGAGGTTTAAGTTTTCATAGTTGTACACCAGGATAAGTTAGAAAGCTGACTGATGGGTGTATTTGTGTATTACATTATGAGTTTTTCGGCATCTATCCAGTCTGGAGACACCCTGAAGGCATTGTTCCATATAGTTCCTAGAAAGGAGAATGTGGAACAAATGGAAAAAACATGAGCTCAGTGCGTTCGCTGTAACGTCAGTTTATGGAGGTACTAAAAAAGACAATAAAATAGAAAAGACGGGAACAGAAAATGGCAAGAGGGATATGGATATGGTTTTAGGGATATGCATCAAATGTGAAATCTGAAATGTTCCTCACAAATACAGCTCAGTTTCCAAAAGAGTTAGAATGCTCTGCAGTAGGAAAAACAGGTTTGATTGTTTAATGGTTCATTTACTTTAATTGTGACCACAAACTGCAATTCTCAAAGACAAATCTAAAAGTATGAGAATCAAGTGTTAATAACTTTTTAAGTCTGAGCTCAGACTTAAAAAGTTTCAGTCTCGACCCATTTAACTGGTGTCAGGACATAAAGTAAAACCTTGAAAGCCTTCACACCTCAGACTTTTTCCACATCACCTTGGTATTTCAGCGCCGCCTTTGAGCTGGGTGTTTCAAAGTCATGCTGCAGGACTGAGGTCATCCATCCTGAAGTTAGTACTCGTACTGCGGCGGGACAAACTCCTTACATATGTGGGCCACAAGATTAATGCTGCGTCCACAGCGTGTGGGCGTCCCAGGAGATATGCAAACTCAAGGTCGATATTTTTCCCTCACTTGATGTCAGACTCACATACAACCCATGCATACAATTCACATATCATTATGTAAATGTGTTATGAATGACAGGTGGAGGGAGAAAAGAGAGGCATACAGGTAGATCTGCTAAGAGTTTCTGGAAACTGTTGACACTTTTGGCCACCAAAAAGTTATTTTATTAATTCAATATATTTCCACAACCACTATCAAATACAGAAAAAACAGAAAGTATCATCTTAGTAGCCTCAGAGACTAATATAAACTTCAGGACATGAAATAAAAGTTTTAATATGTGTTGTTTGATGTTGTCATGGGTAAGTGCAGTTGAATTTGTACAGCATTGTATCAAATACCCCCATTGACTTGTAGAGTATCATTTCTTATTGTATCATACTGTATCATATCATACAGTATGTAATAATATTGTAATGGACAGTATTGTATGGTATCATATCATGTGTATTATATCATATTTCATCATATCAGCTCCCATCATATTGCATCCCAGCTTAGCACATCATACTGTATCATAACCGAGTCTATCATATGATATTGTACCATATCATATCGCAATATATAATATAATATATCTTATCATGTCCCATGGTATCATATGATATTGTACTGTATTGTGTTGCATCATACCATATCACATTTGGTATTGCAACATATCATGTAACAGTGTATCCTATCATATCATATTTTATCATACCATATCATGGATCATATCATGGATCATATCATATCATATCATATCATGTTGTATCCTATTGTATCATATCTCATTATATCCTATAACGTCATATTACATAGTAACTTACCGTATTGTGTATTTTTACTATATTTCAGCAAATCATATCGTAAACCTTTGGCATAATATAGTACCGTATCAATCATGTCACATCATATAACATCCTATCATATTGTATTGTTTTGTATTGTGTTGTGCCAGACTATATCATATTTTTTTGTATTATATCAAATGTTTTATATTTTTAAGGCACTAATGAGTGTAGAAAAGTCTTTGTTGGTTGATGATGACAGGAACTACAAATGACAGATTAATCTTAATCAAATTCATTTTTCTCTTTGCAATTAAAAGTACATTTATTATTATTTGGTAGGTCTTTTGATACCATGAGGAAAACTCCAGGTCTTGAGCTACACTGTTCTGATGTAAACCTTAAAAACTGTCCGAATAACTGTGTTTGTAGTTGTACCTAAAAGAGTCCACACTGAGGTTTACGACATGTGACAGCAGACTGTGACCGATCACTCTGCTTTGTTCCTGTTTGCTTCCTGCTGTTAAAAACCCCCTCCGTGTGAACAAACGTCCTATACTCTAAAAAGAAACCTGCGTCATGTGACCGCCGGGATGAAGGCCAGCCAAACAGTAAAGATCAAGGTCAGATGTCAAAGTCAGGGTTAAAGTCAAGATCAGACAGCGAGCTGTTTGTAGGCTGAGGTTAAGTAACGTTTTCTTTCATTTTAAGTCGAGTTTGACCTCAGAGCGTGGCTCTCAAATGTGGATTTAACCCCAGGACCAGTTCAAAAGAAATTTGATCAGGTTTCAGCTGTTGGATTATTTCAAATGTGAAAAAAAGAGTGTTTGTGCTTTTCTATGTTTTGCTTTTCTTACAAAATCAGAGAGAGAGAGAGCACAGAATGTGCAGAAAGTTGTGTAACCGAATCCTCCTCGTGTTTTAACATTAATTGCTTCCTTTGTGCATTCGGCGTCACTCAGCCATCAGGGTCTAATGGGATAAACATCTCTGGTCTGGTTTTCAGTTTTAAACACCTGCTGATTCTGGCTTTCATCCTGAGGGAGGCTGCCCATTAGAACAGATTAGATTACATACACTCACACACACTCATGCATGCCCTCACACTTGCTTAAATCAGTCATCGGTCACTTTCAATGGGAGAAACTTTTCAGGGCCAAATGTTTGAAACACATAATATTAGTGAAAACATGACGTTATGCTGAATTACTCTGAAATTGAGTCATTTTTTAACCACAATGAACCCAACTGGACCATCAAATAGGGAGCGGGTATCAGAGCGCACGTGTAAATGGACTTTATCTTAACATTCAAACGTGATGGTTCATGTTTGCTGAGTCAGCAGCAACAAATGCTGTAGTCAGGACCTCATTTATCAAACAGATTTAATATTTGCATGAAGGGAGAGCATCAGCAAAGATCTGTCATATGTTCTGTAAATTTAGTTTTCTTCTGGTTTTATTTGAGTGCATTTTGTGTATTTTCATGAGTGTTCCTGTTCCCCAGCAGTCCAGTCTTGTGAGTTTTCAGTTTATGTTTGACCCTGTTTCCCTCCTGTTCTCTGTGTTTTATTCTTTATATCAGTTTTCAGTGTTTTCTGTTTTATTTTGTAGTAGAATCCTTGTGTTTCTCACCCTCCTCGTTAGTCACCCATGAGTTTCACCTGTGTCTCGTTTGCCACACCTGTTGCTCGTTAACCAGTGTGAATATAGTCCCTGTCTTCCCCTCTGTCCTGATTGGTCCATTGTATGTCGATGTGTGTGCGTATGCTTGTGTCCCCAGTTGTTCCTTGGGATTTTTTCCCCAATGTCTTTAGTTGGATTTTGCCTTTTTAATTTTTTTGGTTAGAAAAGTTTTTGCTGTTTTTTATAAAGTTCTTTTTTTAAATAAATCTTTTGGTCCTTTCCCTCTTGTTTAACTCTGTCTCACGACAAGATCCCCAAGTAGGTATCAGTGTCAATACAAATAACTTTGATAAGATCAAAAATGGCCCGTTTTCTGAGACCTCCCTGACCCACCACATGCATACACCCGTTGTGTGAACTACCTCTTCACCCACTGACTACACTGTCTCTGTCCTTTAACAGGCAACGATCAATTAGGGTCATTTCCTGTGCTGAGTGGACATCCTGTCTCACAGGAAGGGGATTAAGAGGGTTTGGAGGGCACCAGGGACTCAGTGGCCAAAAGTATAACACCCCTGGACACCCTTACACCCCCCTCCCCCATGCCGGCCCCTCATGTCAGGAAATCCCTACATGCCTACGAAACACTGCAGTATATGTGAGAGTTTAATGTAAACCCCAGACACCTGAGAGCAATGAGGAAACATCAAGATTGTTCTGCTTGATATTAACAATCAAGAGTCAGAGCGAGCATTAGCCATTCCCCTGCTAACTCTTCATAAAAACAGGGTGAGGGAATGGAAACAGCAGGTTAGAGTGTGGCCTTTAGCATGTGAGCATATGAGGCGCAAAGCAGTATGCCAGGATGCCAAATATCCCCTCCAGTCAAATTCAGCAATATTTTGACTTGGTATGCATATTTACCTAGTTGTCTTTTTTAATATAACATAACATAGCTGAAGGAGTCATCAGTATTTGCTCCCATTTATGTACTTATTGTTATTTTCATGATAAGTCCAGTCACGGCAGACGCAAACATCTGCTTCGACAAACGGTTCAGGTCAGGCCGTGGAAACTTATGTAACGGCGAGTGGATTTACGCACTTTCCGAAATATTTCACAAGCTTTCACAGAGGTTAAAGGACGAGCCGCTTTCAGGGGGGAAAAAGTGAAAGGCGGTTACAGTGGGGCGATTCACGTGAAGCCAAATCGGCGGTTTTTTCATGTGCAGATTTGTGGAGTTGAGAATGAGGGTTTGGCACAAGTGAATGTGAAGTTTATTACTGTCTACGGGATTGAAGTGGAATTATCCTGATGAACTTAAACCATCCTTTTCCTGCAGACGTCTTACGGCAAATATGTGCGGTAGAGCTTTTGAGTTACATTTCAGACATGCGTAATTCATTTAATGCACCTTACTGTAAAATCTGAATATACCTGAATTTGGCACTTGCCAAATTTGCGGCACCTGCCTGCATGCTAGTTAGCATTTTAAAGACTTATAGGACCCTTTTTCATCACTCTATCGATTGTTTTTCACATTATTTGTAATGTAACAACATTTTCAGATCAGTAAACGTGCTAATAAGAGTCTGACCAACAGAGATTGTTCAGTTCCAGACTGGGACTCCAAGATGAGCAAAGTTTTTCCAACTTTTCTCCGACTTTTCAGGATTTCCTCCCATCCTGCAGACAGAAATCTACCCTTTAATCCACCAGCAAATTCTCTAAACACATCACAACATATTTGAGTCACTTATTCCAACAAGAAGACACTCCGTTTGCATTTTTTTTTGCTCCCCTCAGTGTGGGAGCAGCTAATGAAGACACTGACAGTTAGTCCTACGCAGCGGGAGTCGAGTGAGTCAGCCGCCTGCTGATTAAGGGATCCGCTAGCAGAGGAGCCATCAATCAAACGCAGGATCACTCCTACTCTTGTGGCCCTTCTGTCGTGTTTATCCAGCTGCTGGCTCGCTGCCGTGGACAGAGACCCCTGCTCCTGTCCTGGATATCTAACGGAGGCACACCAGGAGCGAAAGAAACAGCATGAAATCCAATCTGCACACTGTTATATTGCCAATTTAAGCTCAGTTTATAGTCATATGTTTAAAGAATTACAGCTAAAGACTGTGTCACAACCTTGACTCCATTCCAGACGTGCCAAATAAACAAATCGCACATGTGTATATACAGCAATAAGCTCCTGAGATGTTTCTGTGCAGTGCAGCCAGCGAGGAAAAAAACATACAGCGAGGGAGCGCTGGGAAAACTGGAGCGAGAACAGGGTGGATTCTCAACTCACCCACGTTGATGGGGATTTGCAGCTCAGCACCTAGCAGTGAAGACATATGGCTGAGCGGTTTGGAGATATGTCGGAAGCAATGGAGACAGAAACGAAAAGAGGAAAGAGTGAAAAAGGGGATCAGCTCTGATGAAAGAAACAGAAAACAGAAATTAGTGTCTTTTCCTTGGCTTTTCTTCGACGAGGTGCGAGTGAAGCTTTGCTGAGTGAGTTGTATCTAAGAGAGGATGTGAAAACACCAACGTGAAGTACCATGAGTTGAGGTTAAGTGATCCGAAGAGCTGGGAGAGACCATGGTTCCTTGCATCCCTCTGGGAGTCTAGAGAAAGTTAAGTCAGAGAGCAGCTGCAGTAGTCGGGACACAAAGCCAGCTACTCCCATGGAATCCCCCAAACTCCTCCAACTCCGACTAAGCACTCTGTGTTCACCGGGGAGTCCATAAAACTGGGCAAGGAATGCACAAAGTTTAATTGAAGTCACTTAAAACCCTTAAAAACAACATCCTCCTGCTGATGTGTCAATCAATAATCAAGGTCTCTGGATTGTAGAGACGTCAGAGGGAGTTAGGAGAGAAAACACACCCAATAGTTAGGAACAAAAACAGTTTAAAGAAAGCCCAGTAGACAGCTGAGCAATCTTGTATTCCCAACATGACTGAAGAGATCAGCGTTAGTCTTCTAGTTGTGTAATAAAGAGAGTCGGTGATGTACAAGTTATGAAATGTCTGACATGTTGGGGTTAAACTGGGCTGTAAGGAGTTTGTGCATGGGTCTAGTACTGAGTGATGACTCTGCATTTGGCTTTTGGGTTCACTGTAAAAAAGGCTAAAGCCGCAGAGGCACCAGTTCACATTGCATCAAACTTTTGGGGGTAAAATAGGGCAAACTAAACATAATCTTCCCTGAGATTTTTAATGCCCAATAGAAACTCATCCAGGGTTACATAACATGTTTTTGCTGTAAGAGGCCAAATCTTGCAGACTTGATTCATATACCGCCAGTTTAATGAGCGAATATGTTTTGAATTAAGACTATAATATTATCAACATTAGGCGAAACATCTACAAAATCTTCATTTATGTGTTTCATTATGTTCCCCCCTGGCAACCAAAGCAAATGTAACAGCTCAGAGGGCTTAAAGAGAGGGTGAATGTGCAACAGTTCCCAAGCTTAACATGTCGAAGAGTTTGAACCAGGAATTATTCAACCATCAAAATTTGGACATTTGTCAACATGTCTTGAAAATTCTGGGATTATTCTTTTTCTTGTTAAGAATCAGATAAGACGCAGAGAAGCATATTCCGATCTGATCTGAAGCTGTTGCCAGTTGCTAATTAGCTTTGTGTTAATTTCATGTTTGGCTCAATCCAACAATTACAAGATTCCAATCTCAAGTTTCAATTAACATCAACACGTAAACAATTACAAGTTCAAGGAAAGCTCAAGAAGATTTTGGAAAATGGGCCCATTTTTGCCAAGAGCGTTTGAGGTCAGGCCCTTAATTTGGACAAGCCGGGAGCACAGTCAGCATCTAAAGGGCTCTGAAGCTGCTTGAGGTTTTTTCAGGCCAACAGTGTTCATACACCCTAAGCAGAGTTGACCAAAACTGTTGCCATCCATTCAAGAAGGCTTGGCGCCCAGTCCCTGTTGTAATTCTTTCTGATGGTGCTGTCGGTTCAGGTCAGGGTGCTGTGTAGGCCAACGGAGTCTTTCTTCACCAAATGCAGCCATGCCTTCTTAAAAACTGTGGCTACTAAGCTGGAAGTGCCCAAGCAGCTGGAGTGTCCTTGATTCTTTTGGCTAAGGTGGTCCCTTTTTCAGGGCTTCAAGGTCTTGCCAAAATCCTTGGAAGGATTTGTCATCCACAAAACCAAAAGCGCTGTTACAGAGTCAACTTTGGCATTGCACATTGCCTGTGTGCACCAGCTTCACCAAGGGAACCAACTATGTCAAGCTCCAGATGCAAAGGTCATGCACAGGCACTGATTTTCAGACTTGGTCATGTGCAGTACAGTGGAATCTTCATGCCCATGTTCCCCCTGCTTTGCAAGTTGGTAGCTGAGTTGTTGCAGCTCCTCCACTATACAAGAGCATACAGTTGACTGAGACAGATGGCTGGTCACTTGATTTTTTCACCAAAACATCTGCTCCAAGTCTTGTTGATGAAAAGGCGTACCCAAACACACCAACACAAACAGGTCCACCAAGACAAAAGCAGTGTCAGCGACTTCTCCGTCTGAACCTTTGTTGTGTCTTCAAACCACCCCAACTGTGAAGAGCTGTTCCCAGCAGCCATCAGTTGGACTCATGAGACGTATTCTCAAGTCCCAAACCGCCCTGAATACACACACACGGACGAGTTAACACACATTTTTGCACTTGAACACACACTTTTCCCAGCCGTTACTGGGAATGCACCATTCGCCTGACATCACTCATGTTACACATTGAGACAGACAGCTAGTCCCACAGGATTAGTCTGGTGTTTTACACACACACACATTTACATCATCTGGTGCCAGCCATGGCCACAGTATATAAACTGTACGTCTGTAGGCCTGTTCATGAGTGTAATACATTTTTATGCTCATTCATGTTGGTTTTTCTCATCAGGGAGAAGGTCAGAGAGGCCACCTGTGAGTTTCTGCTCCTGTGAGTCAGAAGCAGGAGAACTGAAAATACCTCGCTGTGTGTCCCAAAAGCTTTATGGAAAAGTACTGACGAAGAGCCAAAAACTGCCGGGTTCATATGCTCTTGGTTGGGGTATACCTTGGAAAAAGAAAACAGGGAAAATCAACAGAAACATCTTGATTTTTCATACTTCAATCTGTCTTAACTGGCCTGCGCACGTCAGACTGAAGAATATTGAGCATCATGTATGGCACAGTTTACAGAAAGTGTTCGGGAAGCAACTGGCTGTGTTTGGATGGGCTGTACTCTCTACCTTCACCTTCTTCTGACAATCATCAGGGACAGATAGAGAGAAAAAGAAGTGAGAGACAGAGGTTAGGAGAGGCTGAGCCTGGGCTCAAGTTTAGAAAGGAAACAAGAATATAACTACAGTGAACAGTCTGGCTGCAGACCTCCACTGTCAGGACCATTCGTTTCAGACCTCTGCTCCACTGACCTTACCAGAAGTTGATTTGAAGCCTTTCAAAATAAAAGCAAATATACCAGGGGTACCTATTTTGTTCACATCACAGTTGATTTGAAGCCTTTAAAAATAAAAACAAACATACCAGGTGGATTTTTTTTTCACTTCAGAAGCTGATTTGAAGCCTTTCAAAATAAAAGCAAATATACAAGGCGTATGTTTTTTTTTTTTTTACATCACAGTTGATTTGAAGTCTTTTAAAATCAAAGTAAATATACAAGGAGTACGTATTTTTTTTTACATCGGAGGTTAATTTAAAGCCTTTCAAAACAAAAGCAAATTAACAGGCCTTTTTTTTTTTTTTTTTACATTGGACGTTGATTACAAGCCTTTCAAATTAAAAGCTATTAGATCGGGAAGTTTGTATTTTTGGTCACGTGTGAGTATGTTTTATTTCTTTGGGCTTTCTTTTATGCATATCATGTTAATATGATTTTTTTGTGTGTGTGTATTCGTTTGTTTAACAAAGACAAAATACAAAACGGGATGGCCACTTCAAACAAACTGGAGCACCTGAGAAAAAAACACAACCCTGGGTCCTCACAGTGGAGGTTTGCAGCCAGACCCCTTTCTCAGGTTTTTAATCTTGAGGGGGACTCTTGTCCTCTCTCGAGTTTGGTCTGAACACATCATTCTTACACCATAAGAAGAGTTTATGTTCACAGCTCTATTAGTCCTAAAGTATGTAATGACATATAATGGATTAGTCACGAGTTTCACGCATCACTTCTGCCGTCATCTCTCTCTCTAATGCGTGTTAATTAGAAGTTTCTTTCTGCGTCCATCTCTGTTTTTCTAACATACCTGTGGGTGTGTCAGTCTCTATCTTCCTCCTCATTCAGACACCGCCTGAGATTCCTCCCTGTCTGTCAGCGAGGCCCAATTAATTGTTACGACTCCGGCTCCTATACACACACTCTTTCTCACACATAAAAACCTCCTCTGTCAGCACCTTTGATGAAGCTTTCCATGTTTTTGTTCAGACGTAGATTTAACATTCCTCGAAGAGCATCCAACTCAAACATGAACCTCAACAGATCTCTTCTTGTAAACAGGAACCGAGTTCGAGGTCAAACACTGGTACACTAAAATCAGTTTAGATGGAGATTACGATAGTAATGACACGTTCAATCTATTTTTTTCTACATTTACGAGAAACAAACCAAGGGAAATTTTTGAACCCAGCGTGAAGTTGATGCTTTTATTTAGAGGGACTTTTTCAGTTCAATCTCAGTTCAAAAAGTGGGGGTTTTGTTTAACTTCTCCTTTTTGTTTTATGTCTCGTTTTTTTCTTCTGCAGTCTGATCCAAACCAAAACAAAGCGCAGAGCCAGACAGACATTGAGCGAGGTCAGTTCACTCAGCCTGAAGAGACGCAGGCGTAAAACCGAATATCTCCCTGAAGCAGGAGATCTCTGCAGGAGGTGCAGCATGGAAAGAGTTTTTGAGGACTTTTTACCAGGACTCAGTAAAAGCAGAAGTACTGCACTTTAAAAACACTTGACTAGACGTTAAATGCTAAGACTTTAAAACCGTGTAGATGCACGAAAGTCACTGAATTATATCCAAATGAGCACAAAATCAAACATGGGAAAGCAAAGGTAGGTTTTCAGGGTTATTGGTGACTAAATATACAACTTTATCCTTGTAAAATGTCAACTTTTTGCCCTAAAAATGACTTTATTCAAGTAACAAATTGACTTTTGTTCTTGCAATATTACAACTGCAATCTTCACGACATTACAGATTGTTTTTGTACACCATGGTGAGGCAGTGAAGTGGGGTTAAATGGAAACAAAATGAAATGACAACTTTGAATACCTCGGTGTGAGACGTTGACAGATGATTGATGGAAAATAAAGGCAGAGAAATAAGAGGAGAAGACAGGAAAAGATACACAGACACGGGTGCCTGACCTCTTTTTTTTATTGGCTCTATTTTCTCCCTCTAATCTGTTCTCCAGACCTGACACACACACTCAAACACACAAAGAAAGAAGACAAAAACACAGACTAGAGGGAGATAAAGCCCCTGACTGAAATCTGAGCTCGCTGCACACGCTGGATGAGTTACCATACAGTTTGATAACTGGGACTCATGTTTGAGGGAGGAAAATAAACTGGTCTGGCTCCAAATTACATGTACAATAAGCATCTGTCTAATAGCATTAGCGGTGAATAGCATTAAAGGAGTATTACACACAGCTGTAGAGAGTTCCTGTAACTATTAATTGTTTGGAAATAAATGCAAGATTTTAGCTGAACGCTTTCTGTAGATTTATTTAGCTCAACGAAGAGTTTTCCAGGAACCAACACCAATTATTTAGCATAAAGTCACGTTTCCACATAACACAGGAACTTTTAACCCCAGTAAGTACTTTAGAGATTAGGCAGGTTAGCTGGATTGTGAACACCCTATTACCACTTTGCTGAGCGTTCAACAGGTCCTGGACTTTGTCTTTTTTCACCCATATTGGTTTAAACTTTAATGAAAATCAACAATTTAAGGCTGCAGACTTTTCAAACTGGAGACGAAACAGTGGCCCCTTAAAGTGCAGACTTTGAAAGGGTTTAGATTTTTAGTCTTCATTCAGACCCTGGATGGTGTCAAGAAGCCATCTCTTCCCAATGGCCAAAAACCCAATGGCGAGGAAAAGCAACCAGAAACTGGCGACTCCTCCTGAACCATGGACGTGTTCCCAAGGGCAATGCTCTAACCACGGTCTCCGCAGCACTATTAAAACGACAAACAGGTCGAAATCCAAAGGGATAACGCCTCTGAGCCGCACACTGGGCCGACCGCACTTACTTTACATTGTTACCAATTTTACACCCACACCCAAACAAAACCTCTCCTTCTAGCCAACGAAACAAATGATTTATAGAAACAAATACCCAAAATACATACCACCTTTGCATCTCCCAATTCCTGCTGCCGAGCACAAAGACAATACGCGCGGTCAGCCGGAAAAGCCACTACAAGCTAGTGACGTCACTCACGACGCCACCTTCCGTTCACAAAATCAGGCCCACTAATACTACTACTACTTAGCCTACCATTCTCTCGAAACATCAGGACGGACGAGCCCCCACTTTTGTCACAACCTGGCTCTTCAGCAGCGACAAAGACAATGGGAGATGCACTAGTGGGAAATAGCAAAACAGCAACTTAGGTGTGTGGTAAGGTGTTGGGAGAGAGAACTGGTGGAGAAGTCAGGATATTTAAAAATTGGGAGACACCGGGCCCAGGTGCTGCCAACCTCACACCAGGGAACTGTCACACTGGTGTTCAAGGTTTGGTTACAATTCTAACAGTAGAATCTCATTTATGTTTGCAAACTAAAATCAGCTATTCTCCAACCACTCCAAAATAAATCTGCATAATATTTTATCCAAGAAATTGGTGTACTTCATGTGCATTTGTTTTGATTTTGCATGTCTGGAATGTCAGCTCTGCTCGTGTGATCTTGCTTGGCAAAGGCAGGGCTCTGTCCTGCTTCAAACATGCAGCTTGATTTTTGGCGTGCATTTGGACCAATCAGAGATGTCAGAATCTCTTTGAGTGTCTTGTGAACAGAAGTCTCGCTTTGTTCTGAGCGTTGCAGTCCGTATAGTTGTCGAATCGTAAACTTTGTTGGCATTTCCTGAATCCTCTCATTTATCTGAATTCACGAAGAGAAACTGTAACAGATCATTACCAGCAAACCATGTGGCCACACTCTCCGTCATTTTGTCGATAAATGCCGACCAGTGTATATCTCCTTACTTAAGCACAGTCAGTCCTGTGAAGTTTTACCAGTGTCAGCCACAGCTAACCTCTCACCCTCAACAATGTGCTGGGACACTCCCTGCCTGAGTAGATTTCCTGCTGCTCGGTAAAATTAACAGCAAAGTGGCGATGGAAAAGTGCAGGTCAAAAGGATAGAAGTTCGAAAAAAAAGTAGCAAAGAGAAAAAAAGAGAGGGAGGGAAAGTAGGTGAGGGAGGGCGGCGGTGGAGCTAGTCAGCAGCTTTGCCCTCTTTTGTTCACCTTACACACACTCCGTTGGAGAATATGGGTCACAAAAACACATTCCAGCCTCTGAACATTCATACGATCCCTGTGGAAGCAGAGGAGAAGGGGGTGAGAGAGCATTTTAGACCAGAAAAGGCATAAAAATTAAGAAGGAGGAGGAAAGAAGAGACACCCAGAGGTCAAATATAAAGGCAGGAGATGTAGAGGAAGTGTAACCCTCAGATAGATAATACCTGACTCCCACAGAGCGTCAGGGTCTGTACCAGGAGAGAAAGGGGGACCTGCTGTTTTAAAGGGGGTCACCCTGGTTCACGGTGTATCACTCCAGAACATCAACAGGTGATAGATCAGTTTCCTCGTGACTCCATCTAAACCCATGATGAGCTGCAAATTTCACAACACCCCTTCAATCCTGAAGTCTGGATTCAGCAGCGTCTGGAGACTTCTTCAGTGTTTGTGGGGTTGCTGCTTTCACAACCTTATCAATCAAACACAAAACTAACCAGCATGGTTTCCAATGAGTGGTTATTTGATCCTCAAGCATGTCCTGTTTTCGAACAGAAACTTTACATGCCAGTGTCCTTACATCCACTCATGTGCTGTGTTCCAGTTGTTCTTGGAAGTCGGAATTTCCGAGTTCCGAGTCAAAAATTCATCTGGAACGGCCCCCTGATGTCAGATTTCTGACTCGGAAAGTCGGACCATCCTTACCAACCCCCGACTTGACGACAACGTCATAATCCAAGATGGCAGCGCAGTGCATCAACAGTAAAGAGTAACAGTGAAAGCTCTTGTAATTTATACTTTATTAGCACTTCTGTTTTGTTTTTGTGAAATTAAATAAGTGGTATGTGTTGTGCTGCCCAATGTCTAACTGTGAACACGGTGCTACGGTGTTTGTAAGAGTAAAATAACGACAACTGACATCAGCTAACAACAGCTGACAATTGTAAACAACAGCTAACTGTAGGCTAACTGTCCATCTTGGTTTTCTGACTTGTTGACTGGAACGCTGTCAACTCAGGTGTTACGTCATTCCCAACTCAGACATACGACTTCTGTGGTGAGTGGAACACAGCAATAGTCCAAGTTCTCTCTTCCAGCAGCCGCTTGTTTGTATGAAGACATCCGGGGGAGTCCATCAACTGCAACAGGGGGGACGCAGCTCAAGGAAGAACATTTATGATCATCTCCTCATGGAAATGCGATCAGACCGAGAAGCAAAGGCGGGAGAACTACCGCGTCTGCAGTGCAAAATGATTAGTATGATGATTGTTACTTCAAGGAAATGATAAAGAAATGATCATAAATATTCTTCCTTGAGCTGCGTCCCCCCTGCTGCAGTCGATCAACTCGCCCAGAGGTCTCTGTACAAACAAGCGGCTGCTGGAAGAGAGTAGGTGAGTTGTGTTTAGTCTCTTTGCTAAAGAAACCAGGTAAAGTTAAAAAGATGTTTGATGGCAAGTACTGTGGCTGGGACCGTCTTTGTACTGTTGATGAAGTCAGGTGCTGTTCTGAGCATTATTTGTGGCTATAGAGTGGCATTTTGGTTGAGTGCATGGCTTTCTGTATTGCTATCTGCAGTCGTTACTAAAGTTGGTATAACTAGAGAAGCAAGCGGTCAGCAACATTCATCACTCAACGGGGTGTCTAACTTGGTGTTAAGGTGTGTTTGACCCTCACCTAATATTATGCCGGAATATCCCTTTAACATCCATAAAACCGTTACAGTGGAGAGCTCAGCCCTCAACCACTGGGCCATGGACTGGTCCCAAGCTTAGGCCTTTTTACACTCAGCCCAAACCCAGTGGGAATACATTACATTTTTGGGTTAAATATGTCTTTCTATGGTTACCTTTAATTTCTAACTCCAAATCCCCAAAACAAGGTGGATTCAGGTTTTTTTTTAGGTTTTTTTTTTTTCACATTTTATTGTGTCTCCTGTGACTGTTAAAGCAGACAAAAGCTGTCTCGACCAGTCTCCTACAGTAACGTGACCCTTTAATTGCAGGTCGTAACGGTCTGTTGAAAGACTGTCGTGGTCAAATCAGCAGCTGTTCTTCTTCTTTTGTTTGACAGCAGCTCTCGTGTCACCGTGAACACGCCTCTGAACCTGTATCATTCAACTGCGTTTTAATTCCATATTTGCACAAAAGCTAATAACGCCTCTCTTTAATCTACTCTGTTTGAGTTTAGCAGGATTTAATACGACATGCCTCTGAGCAGTCAAGCTACTGCTGCTGCCCTTTGTCATGTTTTCGTCTGTAAATACAACCCGACATGTTTCGGTGTTTGACACGCTCAGAAATCCCTCTGCGTGTCGGAGAGCTGATAAAAACACTGACAGCACAGGAGCTTTGTTTGAGTCAAACGTCTCTCTGACATGAAGCATGTCGCCGCTCTGATGTTTGCTGCTCTGCCTGTAATGAGATAGTGAGAACATGTCTGGATGCCATCTGTGTGTTCGTGTGGTGGGGGCTACTTTGTGTGACAGAGATCAGATGATGTGTGTTTTACAGTGTTGAGGAAGCTGAAAGTGAACAGAGCAAACTAACTCGTTTGAGTCACTTTTTTAAAGTTGTTGAAAGACACTTTTTCTTCAAGAAATCCAAAATGTAACTGTTGTACATCTACATGGCTGACAAACAAGGCAAAAAATGCTCCAGTTGTGTTTGAGTTTATGCTAAAAAGGCTCATTTTCAGCTGATTGAATGTAATAATTATCATGTATTTTGCTGCTCACCCTGTCAGGATTCTAATGTGCATGATCACCTGTTCACAATACATGATACCTGGCTACCATCTTATTCAATGTAATTTGTCATTTCACCACTTTATTCTTATAAATTCACAGCTATGATCCCACAATTTTTAACTCTATTTTTTTAAATTAAAAAATTGACAACCTCATTTGTATGAAATTTCGACTTTGGTCTCCAATTTGCAGCATCATGCATGAAAATGTATGATTTTGTGAATTTAGCAATTTCATCTCACTAGTCTACAACTTGGTTTTTGTACATTTACAGCTTCAATCATAACAAATTAATGACTGCATTCTTATGAGTAAACTTTTTTTTTTCCACAACTTTTATCTTGTGAATTAAGGAGATTTCCGTTTTTTAAATAACTGACATTACTCTCATGATTCCCGAACTTTATCCTACTGTGTAAACTTTATTTTCATAGACTTAAGACTTCTCCCTGTAAACTTGAGAATTCACTTTTGAATTCATCATTTTTCCTTCTGTATTTAACTTAGCTAACTAAGACTTTACACAGAAATAAAGTCTGAGGAAAGTTCAGGTTAGGAATTGTTTCACACGTGCATTTCGCCCTGGTAAATTTTGGCAAGTTTTTGGGAGTTTCATGCTCGTGTGAACACAGCTTTGCATGCTAACAATGTGGCATTCATGTAGATCTGAGTTAGTCAGCAGGACAAGGTCAGACTATGACTGAGAGGGGAGCTGACAGCCGTCACAGCTGACACCAGATAGTCAATAATCCCATTTCACTGGAGACAGGAAGCTGCGTTCGCCTCTTTGCAGTCACAGATCAGAAGAATCAGAATTAGATTCACCTTTCTGATACTTTAACAACTTTAAGAGATGGATTAAGCCTTTATTTGGTGTAATTCTCCTTTAAGCCCTCTTCTCTCTGTCAGGTTTTATATAATCAGATGTTTTGTCTGTTCTGGTCATCGTGGTGCGATGCTGGCAGGCTGAGCGCCGCCTCAGGCTCTGACCTACTTCCCCAAAAAGCTCACCATCCTTTTGGGCCACAAACAATGATTTATCTGTGACCAGTGTGTGTGTCAGTATGTGTGTATGTGTGTGTGTGTGTCAGTGTGTCAGTGTGTCAGAGTGCACCAGGCCACTTCCTGACATCAATCCCAGCCAGACGCACGCACTCCGAGAGTGTTGACAGATGCAACAAAGCGCCCCGCTACAAGTGTCCTCTCTCACCCTCTTCAGTCTACTGTACCACAGACAGGCACTCTCACAGGAGATTGACCTTTGACGCTGAGGTCATTGACCGTGAGACCCAGACGCTCCATAACAGGAAGTGTTCGTTTTTTTCTCTCCGGACAGACGCTGATCCTGCAAGAGGCCGATGCACGCCATCACAAACCAGTCCTCCTCTATGTTTATATCATGTTTTTGACTCTAAACTATGCAGAGAATGAATAAATACAGCTGAAGAGGACAAACATCGAAACTCAAACTTGACCTTTGACACTCGAATCCAGCAGCATTCCTTCATGAAGAGAAGCCAAGTCCATGCGAGGAATTCCCACTTAAGGTAAAATAAACAGTCCGAGTCGAGGTTTGACAAGCTGATGGACGGGCGGCCGGAGAGGGAAGACACCAAAACAGATATGTGTAAATGGCCGACGCCATTTTGCCACTTTCCGGGGGAAAAAAGACCCGTCCCCAAAGGAAGCGAGAAAACTGACACAACAGCAGACTGACTGTTTTTCAGTTCTGATTAGACACTAGTGTTAAGATGGCTGTCTGTCATGATAGCATGTACTGAGTCGGGGCCAGTACCAGATAAGCACATTAAACTATAATCCATAAACATAAGGTAACAACCCAGACCTAATGGTGCTGTGACAGCAACGTGATTGAGTTTGAGACAGGGAAAATACATATGGTATGTTGTATCTGAACAGGTTAGCTTATGAGCTAAAGTTACTTAGCACAGATGAAAGTTAAAACAAAGACGTTTAGCAAACTGCTAAAGCACACAAACCATCGTCATATGAGAAATCCAACGCTATGACTCTCCACAAGTTATCCTTCAGGTCGTTATCTTTGTAAACAATCAGCCAGTTGACCATGTTGGATACACCGGTGAATCAGACGCCGCAACACGCAATCTGATTGGTCAGAAGTGGACACACAGTATGGGAAACTTTAGAAAAACCGACCATGATCCCAAAAAATAAATGCCGCAATATCGCAGGACGGAAAAACGTTGCTGATGTCAACACTTGTATTGACAGGATATGCGTTCGAAAAAAATATTGACGTCCGAAATAATCACATCCTGGTGTGAAAGGACCTTAAGGGTTTAAAAAGAGAGAGAGAGATGGACTGAGGTGAACGAAGACATGTCCACGGTAGCTTAAAATCTACAGCAGCCACCCAGAGGAACCTACGGCATGATGGAGCTCAGGGACTCCCAAAAAAACACAATGTATTACATTATGATGTCATATTTTGTTTGTGTTCAACAAACTGCTGCCGACCAGTAGTGAGAGTTTATTTTAGCCGTTTGAATGGGTGTAAAATAAAAACCTATAAACCTCCAAAATGACTTTAAAGACTTATATAACTTTGAGGCCATACATGAGGGTCTACATTTATGACTCGATTTCAGCACTTTCATCCATTTCTGGGGTTTTTAATAAAGCCCATCTTGCACAGATTTTTTGCATTGAAGAATACGCCAAGAAATGACATCATGACCAGTAAAATCCCTCTGCTGCTGTTGCAGAGATCTGAAGGTTAAACATTACGACCTCCTGTATTTGTTCAAACAGAGTCTAACGGCTGTGTTTGGCTTATTCTGCCATTCGTCCGTAGGGTATTAGCAGGGTGGGAACACAAACCCGGAGGCTGGGGAGCATCAGGAGTCATTAAAGGGAGGTGAGGAAAAACAGAGCCCGGCTTCTGGACAGTATCACCCTGAGTCGAGGGTGGAGGAGGGGAAGTTGTTTGGGTAAAGAGAAAGATGTGTGAAGTCACAAATACACAAGCAAGCAGCTGTGTTTCTGCTTTTACTGTTACTATAATTTTTTTATTACCTCCAACATTTAAATGCAAACATCTACAGCACACTTTCCATTGCGTACAGTTTACAAGAACGCTGCTTTAGCTTTGATGCATTTCAAGGAAAATAATTTTATTTCTGTTTTCCATGGTTTCACCACGCATTTTAAACCTTTTCAACATGTTTATATGCATGAGCAAATGCCAAACAGATAAAATAACTGGTGTATCCATTTGTGCACCATGCATCCATTTAGCCAAACCAAAACAGTGCATCAAACTCGTGATGGGAAAGTGCTGTAAATGTATATTTTTGTGCATTATAATGCCAAGGTTGGAGGAAATCATCTGCAGCCAGATGCCGAAGTGCAAAAAGAGCTGCATTTCCTCCTTTGTCCACTTGGGGCTGACTCCAAAAATGACGGAAGAGCCAATATTAAAAGCCAAACGTTTTTACAGCCTGGTGTAAAAAAACTGATAATCTACTTGTGGGCACAGTGGGTAACCATGGCAACTGAATCTGAGTGTATATCAGTCAGCCAATGGGAGAGTGAAAGTTAGCGATAAATTTGTGAGTAGATACATTTCACAATATTACCTGCGAGAGCAAAAGAAATTGATGCCATGATGAGTGACAGGTGTGACAGGGGAAATTTTAACATGAGTACCAGCTGGTTTAGTAGATTTCTATTTTGTCAACACTTTTCTGTAAGAGGAAGCACCTCTGTTTCAAAGAAAGTTGCCCTTAAAAACAGTATAAAAAAATATATTTTTGGTTTTGGTTTGGAAAACTTAATGAGAAAATAATAAAAAGCTGATTTGTCTTTGTGCCTGTCCCAAGTAAATGAAGCGGGACTTAAAAGTAGGGGCTACTAACTGGTGTTTGATGTAGCGTTGTTTTTTATGTAGTTGGAGTTACACAAACCTGTGGCTGTACTGTCATGTAGCTTGACCACAGACGTTAACACTTGGCCACCATTCTCTGTAGAAACCAACGGATGACGTCAATGAGATAGTGTCCATCTTTGTTTACGTTTTTAATGGTTATTGCATCCTGATCAGCTGTCTTAAAAGAAACCATTGATTGAAATATCTTGAAGTGGGCCTCTGACTTTCGTTAAGATGTCACATTTGTAGTTCATGCATCTATCACAGTCCCTAAATATGACATAGAGTATTTCCGGCACAGAGAGCTGTTTTTGAGTTCCTGAGAGCAGCTCTGACCTGAGTGAAGTTTGGCTTCTGGTGGAGAAAATACTCTGAAATATTTTGAAGTCATTGACATGTGTTGAGGAATGGAACCACCCATCTGGCAGAACAGTTCGAGCACATGTCCAACTCATTGACATAACTTTGATTACATAACTCTCTATTACAAGTGTGTCCAAGCCACGCAACGCTGAGGACTTCGATTAAAAAATGCACCCAACAGAAGGATGAAAAACACAATCTAACACAAGACAGCCTTTCGGCAGATCTCCGAGGTCTGCACAGTGTTAAACTGCGAAGTGCAAAGGTCGTTCTTGAAGTGAGGCGGAACCGGCGCTGGCGGTGAAGTCATGGTCGCTTCCAGGATGAGGACATGCGAACAGCTGCGGCCGCTGACCTCGTCCTCTGGCCCAGCAGCACTTACACAATCTCTGTGTAATTCTGTGAGAACGCTGGTTTGGCATCTGACGCTCACATCGCCACACGCCAGTGCAATGAAATGTGGAAAAATCCGGCGTGTGATTTAGCGAGTGTGTGCACTTCAGAAAGAGGAGGGTGTTATGGGAAAAGGCAGCATAAATCACCTCCAATTGACCACTAAATATCAAAGTCCTCTCACCAGCTTTCATCGTCCTCTTCAAACACGACCAGAGCGACCGACCTGACTCATCCTGGAACCACTAAAGACGAAAACGCTCCCATTTTTCTCTGTCATCCTCTTACCAGAATCCTACTTCTCAACCCTGTCTGCCCTCTCCGAAAACGCCAACGTCAGCACTTTCATAAACACAGAGTCGCACAAACAGGCAGAGAGTAGATCATCTCCAGATGTCTAATTGGACGGAGACGTAAAGGAGAAACAAAAGAGAGGCACAAAGTCAAGCTGCAGCCGATGAGGCTCGTGGCTGTCTGCTACGATTAACAATCGATAGGACAGGCGCACATTTGAGCAAACATAAGCACACTAACTGTTTGACCTTCTCCTGACAAGCCTTTAAATCACAATTAGAGCGGGAGGAGTTCAATAAATCCTGAATACAGTCCTGGGGAATTTGTTTTTGTTGCATAATTACAACCTTGACTTATTACCTTTATATTCAAGTGTTTAAGCTAAGAAAATGGCCGCCTCTCTGGATCAGGTTGGCCTCCACCTTTTCCTTTTACTCATTTTTGAAGGGATTTTGAGACTCTGCGGGGATTACCACGACAGAGTTATGTCGTTTTTTAATGCACATAGTGTTACTCTTAGCATGGTACAGTTTTAACAGAAATTTGGAAGTAGGTCAGTGGTTTTTGGAGGTGTTTCTTGGAGGTTTTTGAGCGTGTCCTTTTTTGATACAGAGATCACTACCTTCAATTTTTTCTACCTTTCCATTTCCCAAGAATGAGTCTTTTTGAGATATTTTGTGATGACTTTTTAAACTTCTTTGCAGTTTTACGTTGAAATTATGCCATTACACAACTTTTTTCATTGTTAATTGGTCCTGTCCCAACTTTTAAACAAATTAATATGGGCTTTGGATGTCTTGCAAACCATCAAATTCAGTTTTTATCAACATTTTGACTGTGTTGGAAATGGGTCAAGGTGTTTACAGAAGTAACATCTGCCTTCATGAACGCCTAAATGTAACACAAGCTAAGTTTTCCGCAGCAAAAACGTATTTTCCTAACATTTGCTTGTTACCGTGGAAATTGAAACCACACCACGTTGCATGCAAACAGACACTCCAAGAAGGAGGACGAGAATGATGTCAAAGATCGAACCAAGGTCAGGGTTAGGGGTTATCTCTGCATCCAGCCACATGAGGCACCAGTCACATCACGGGGAGGTTCTCACAGATTGTATCTTAATCTGAGACAATGAACTCTCCCACTGCTCCCTATTAAGGTCCAGTATGGCTGGACTTTGTCTGGCCTTGTCAGACCCCCTTCCAATTAAAAGCATTCTGCTGCTTTCAAAGGCTTCCTCCCACAGATCTCAGCTCCCCATTCAGGTTTCAGTGAAAACAATCTGCCAGACAGAACCACAATGTAAAACCCCGATTCAAAAATGTTTTTGCTGGTTTGCAAATGATTTAAACCCTGTATTTAATTGAAAACAGCGAACACAAAATCAGATGTTTAAACTGAAAGAAATGCCAGTTTAGCAGCAGGACTTTTCTACTACAGAGCCATGATGTTGTAATACTTGCAAAATGTGAACTGAAGGTAGATTACCAGACTTTATCTCCCCAATAGGTAGAGGTTTGTTTGTGAGAAACGGTCTGGAAAAATAAGAACTGTTGTTAGGCTTAAACCCAGACTTGTCACATCACATCACATCATTGAATTAACTTTTGCAGATCAGACTATGATGATTTACGTTTTGGTCTGAGTCGGTTTATGAAGCTGAGTCAACTGTTTTTACACCCTCCAGCTGTGTTTCCCTCTGAGCTCATGTAACACTCAGCAACATGCCATCCTGCTTTGAAATGTGGGTCAGATCAATGAAAAACAGGCAGCAGACGGACGACCACGGCATGCTGGATTGATGAAATAAACATGTAATTTGAGCAGGATGTTTTCCAACAGCCAGAGTAAAAGTAAGAAGAATGTAAGGACAGTCTTCTTTTGTATACGACCTGGCGAGGCAAACAGAAGAAGAGAGACAGGAAAAGGAGAAAGACGACCTGCCAGCTAGAGGATGTTTTGTCTCGCCTCGACAGATGTGATGTCCTGTCTGACTCCAGCTCTGGAAGAGGAGATATGAAGACAGGATATGAAAAAGATGAAGAGCTATCAGATATCACTCATTATTACACTGACTGAAGATAATGAGGCA